ATTTGACAACCTTTACACAGTGATCTCCCCTTAATTTTTCGGCGTTAGTGTACTTATAAAGGGAAGTAACCGCTTGGAAGAGTTTGGACTTCTTTCGGATTTTGCCTAGAACAATATCAGGGTCTGAAATTTCGCTACCATTATTGGTTTTGGTTTGACGACCCAAACAAATAATAAAATTGTATAAAGAAAAATAAAGATTTTTTATTGCATTGGTCTTTAACAATATAACAAAACAATCAGATTTACAGATTTATATGGAATTATTTCTTATTAAAGAAGCTAATATATCTTTAGTCCAAATTACCGAAAATACACCGAAATTAACATGTTGACAAAAAAGGACAACCTATTCAGATTCTGAATTTCCTATGCATGCATTAAAATTTGTTGAATCATTTTTTTTTCAAGAAGAACTTTTATACGAGGGTTGTCCAAAAAATTCGTGCACTGCAGTTATTGTAGTAAGAGTTATTAATAAAAAGCATGAATTAAATATCATTTGAAGGGGAAATCTATCTCAAATAAGAAAACATTAGAAAAAGCCGTGTAACCGGCGTGTTGTGAAAAGGAATTGTCATTAAGTTACCTTAGTAACGTAATACCGGTGCACGACAAAAAAATGGGTAAGTTCATTTATTTTTTGTCGGTTGTAAAGTGGCATTTGCTTTTTATGTCATAATTTGTTTTACTGTCAATAGAGGAATGATTGATGCAAATCATTTTTTAGTTTTTTTATCTTATGCAATGTACATTTAACATATTCCACCAGTGCATGAGTGTATTGGACAACCCTCGTCACATGCGCCGGCATTACGGACGAACGTTTGCCTGACCGGTTATCATCATCTACCTCCTCTCACCCCTCTACAGAGCATGTATGCCATTCAGATACCAGCCTTCGTTACACTGAACATGTCACCCTTGCCCTTTTAAATTCATTGTAGGTATCTTTCGGTGTTTTTCCAATACTTGCCTAAAATTTAATGGATGTCCGTATTTCCAGACGTTTAGCGACTTAAATGTTCACGTAATTACAGTATTGACGACCACACAGAAAAGTTTGATTACGACCGTTATAATAGGGCAAATGACGTCATTTTTTCTATTGACGTCAGGAATACATACACACACATTTCCCTGAATTTTGACATTTATATGCACTGTTTAAAGAAAACTGTGATGCATCAAAGTCATGAACTAACCCAATTTTTTGTCGTGCGCCGCTATTACGTTACCAAGGTAACTGTATGACGATTTGTTTTCACGACACTCCAGTTACACGGCTTTTTCTTTTGTTTTCTTATTTGAGACATATTCCCCCTTCACGTGATATATAATTCATGTTTTTCTATCAATAACTCTCGATCACGACAATAACTGCAGTGCACGAATTTTTTGGACAACATTTACAAATAATCTTTATGCAGTGTGTCTACGATATTTGTAAATTTTAATCACCCCTGTAATACAAGAAAAATGTACTTAATAACTGTTGCAGGTAGAGGGGAATATTGACATTGCATAAATATAGCACACTATCTCTACTGAGTTGTGGAGCTCCAAATGCCTTTCAATACCGTGTATATTAATACATCTGTACGTTTAACTGTCAAACTTGACATTTCTTTAACGGTAGGCAAGAAAAAAAGACATAAGAGAAGTAAAATAGGATAGAAAGAAATAGGACACGGACACAGTTTTTGCTAGAAAGAAATTAAAAAGAAATGAAGTAGCAAAAAGTACTTGTACACAGTTAGAGTCTATTTTTCAGCCATTTAGACAAGACCAATCCAGCTTCCGTGGCGGTGCCCAGGTCCGAGACCCTGCTGGCATAGCTCAAACCCTTCACTTGGCTGTATATTAAGTTTTATAAATATATGTAATAAGTATATGTGCTGGTACCATGGGGACCCGGCACAGTGTTGGGATAGTGTAAAAAAGTAATTTTAGTAAAAAATATATAGTTAATATTTAATATATATACAAGGGTTGAACTCGCCAAATCGGCAGAATGCCACTAGTCCAGTATAAGTCCAAATTGCAAAGTCATTTTTACGTAAATCATATTAAGTTATATATCAATTTGTAGCTAAATGACATCACTAGATGTTGACAATAACATTATTGTTCCCACTTAAACCGTTTTTGAACAACAAACCAATATTTCGGATGGAACATCGTATTTTTGCTAGGTCGACAACAACCGTGCAACCTGTCAACACTCAATTTTCTACGTGTAAAAACGCAATTCTAAACCATGTCATTGTACCAACCCGCAATAAATAGATAAAACAAAACCAAAGAAACAACTTACTGCCTTAAATCGATTTTTAAAATGTTTTATTACATCTGTAAACAACTAATTTCTGAATGTGAAAATGAAAGTTGTTATCAGCATCCACTGGCTATTACGTGACCGATTTGAAACGGATTATTTCATTGGTTGATTAAAATACGAAGCTAAGCTGGGTCACATTATCGTCCAATCAAACGGCGTCTTACAACCGGAGCCGAGTATGTCTCATGGCTTTAAAAAAAAATTTAAACGGAAGAGTAAAAAAAACCAACTAAATGTTTGCTATAATTGATTGTTTTCAAAACAATTTCCAGCAGTAAGTTGTTTCTTTGGTTTTGTTTTATCGATAACTTAATTTTTACGTAAATATGACTTTGCAATTTGGACTTATACTGGACTAGTGGCATTCTGCCGATTTGGCGAGTTCAACCCCTTGTCTATATATTATATATAAGCTATATTTTTTTTTCTTCTAGAACTACTTTTTACACTTTCCAAACACTGTGCCGGGTCCCTTTGGCTGGTACTTACAAATATACATTTTATTTGGAACTTCAGGAATTTGGAGCTGCTCACTCCAAATGTATGTGCAATCAATTGCACTGCATTGTTAATAATTAATTCGACTGCATTTTTAATAACCTACAGTTCCGTATTTGTACATGTACAGATGTAATTTGAACAGGTCAAACAATTATACTTACACAAGCATGTTAAAATATAGATTGCATAGGATTTTTACCAAGATGAAACACAAATGGTGTCAAACTCAGCTCCAATCCTGTAAGGGGAGATCACTGCGTGGGACACGGAAGTTTACGCCACTTGCAACGCAAAAGGGAAGCACTTTTGTATATTTAGTATTGTGCGAAATCAACATGCACGGGACATTCAGAATTATTATCTGTGGAAAATTTTTCGACAATGTACAGGAATCAAAATTATGCTCATTCTACAGATTAAAGGATATATACCATGTGAAAAAGAAGTTAACAACGGAAATCTTTAGTCCAACTAATTAGACCCATCGGTGCTTGGACTCCTTTCTTGCATACATAAACGACGTCCTACAGGACGTCCAATCAAAAGAACGTCTTTTTGCTAATGTTACTGCTATTTACCCAACACTGACATCAGGTCAGCTTTAGGAAACCATTTAAACGACTTTAATACCTTGGAAAAGTAGGAGTTGAATGGGACATGGAGTTCAACCCATCCAAATATCAAGTCACCCACATCGCAAGAACGAAGCATCCTATACTGATTATATCTTTTTAATGAAACTACTTTAGAGGTGGTAACATCGGCCTTGGCGTTGATGTATCAAATGATCTCTAATTGTACAAATACATAAACAGGTCGACAAAAAGGCAAACCAAACTCTTACGTTGTACTCAGAACCTCTTAAGGCCAAGACATAAAAAGACACTTGTTCGACCACAACTAGAATATGCATCTTAAGTCTAATTTCCCACTTTTTCTTCTATATGTATATAATATTTTAAATACGTCTTCTTTTAAATCACTGTTTAACTTTTTTACTGCTTTGACACACCGACTGTCTACGTCCACGCGATGGATTTGACAGAAAACAGCGTTTTCAAAGTCAAAATAGATATATTGTATGGACACATAGGCGGATGCTTCTAATTTAAAATTTTACCATTTCATGTTAAATATTAAGTACTACCGGTGCTGTTGTCGTGGACGCAATTGCATTTTCTAGTACTGTCCATGAACACGCTCAATCAAACCGATCCATGCAACATTCTCGATATGGTGGTACTAGTATTTGGTTTTCTTTAGGGATTCCATTTTTCTCTATTTTGATATAATTTTGGACGGGCGTTTTTTTAACGGTTTGACAGTGGATAAAACCTGACTGTAAAATGGGTGAAACAATTCATGCTTTATTAATAAGGGTAGGAACACTAGAATGTTTTAACTATCATTTTCTTTGTGTATTTTTATATGTCTATTTTTTTTTCAATTATTGCATTTCAAGTTAAGCGACACAATATAGCGACTCGTTGCCTCGCCCATCGCATCGCCATGTTCTGTTGCTTAGCTAAATCAATTGACTGAGTGTATTCAAACCATTTACCCCTTATCGCTGTGGGTTCAAATCCCGCCAGGAACTTTGGATTCTTTCATTTGAGAAGCTATCAAACTAGCTTATGGAATGGTTATGGGTGGTTTCTTTTCATGTATCCGCTTGTGCCTGAAATAATGCACAGATGGACACCTGCATGATGTCTTCCTCCACGACTACAGCTAGAAAGACGACGCCATATGACATCGACTGTGTTGATGCGACGTTAAATCCAACAAAAAATAATACACACCATTCGCATAACATATAATTATAACATGCATTCATTTATATAATAGCTTCAAACAAATAACGATATAAATACAAATGTACTTAAATATTTGTTAAATTCTCAAAACACGGTTTTCGCTGCGAGATACATATAGGCTACCTTTTTGTTATTATTCTATTTATAACCATTGTATCAACTTCTTTTTCCTCTAAACATGTGTTAAGATACTCCTTCATAACAACTATAAATAAAATACTTTGAAGTCATGAGAAAGTTAAAGGATTTCAAAATTAATATTGTTTTTCTCACGATTACGAGAATGTGCTTCATCTAAACACAAGGAAGAAACACTTCATCCATTCTATAATTTTCCTATTTGTATAAGGAAAATGTGTTTTCCTTGTTTTAACATAGTAATACTTTAAAGCACACAGGACAAATACATTGTTTTATTTTCACTATACAGAAGATTGATATCGCGCCTGTTTATGTTTTAACCCGTTAATACCAGTCTGGATAGAAACATTTTAGCAGGTATGTGTCTTTTCTTTTTTAATGTTTTATTCTTCTAAAATCAACAAATCATTTTTTAATTTTTCTGTAATTGTCATCTTATATAAATTTATATTTTTTTAAACAAAAAGAGCTAATTTGACGTAAATATTATTGAGGTACAATTAAGAATATATTATAAATAACAGACTACATCTTTTAAGAAGTTTATCACATGAACTTAGTTCACATTATTTTTGCTTACCATATTTCCAGGATAATTAACAAGTCGGAAATGAAAGCGAGTATTATTTGGTTCATAATCATTGCAAAACATGTCAAAGACATCAGCTCTACAGGTATTAATTATCATTATTTCAAACCTTGCTGAAACAATTTTCTGTATTCGTCGTTTTTTTAACCTGCGTCTTTTCCCCCTTTTTTGCTGTTTTTATTATTATTTTCTTGTGCCGAAATGACTTTTTACATTTTTCACATAGTTTACTTGAATGGCAGTTGTTTCCCATGAACGATAAATTCATATAATGCATTCACGTGTTGTCAATGCATTCCAAGGGTAGATAAAAGTACACGTACTTTTGTTTTGTAAGTACATGTATTGAAAAAGCTCTCTAATCAATTTATTATAAAGAAAAATATAGTTTGCGAACTATATCTTTACACTTTTCTTCAGCGTGTTGTGAAGACGGATGGATATCGTACAATTCACATTGTTATTTGATAGGACAAGAAGAACGGACATTTATGGCAGCACATGTAAGAATTTATAGCTGATCAGTGAGGAGACAGACTTTCGATAGGGCAAGGGTTCAAACCCCAGAATATGCAATATTTTTTTCAATATTTTTTTTCCTTCTCCTTTTTGTTTTGTCAGATTTTTTTCTTAATTCATATCTAAAATATGTAATTAAAAAATGAAGTTTTAAGTATATTTTTTACTGTGAAATATGTGAAATTGGATAGCATAACTAATGAAAATGATTATTTTGTCGTTTCTATTGTTTAATGAAGTATTAACTATATTACATTTCAGCACTTTTATGATCAACAAGCCGCGTATCTAGTCCGAATTGATGACTACTGGGAGAATAAGTTTCTTAAAGATCTCCTTAGAAATTTGGAAGGTAATATTTAATAATAATGTGTTTTTGTAACACACCTAGGTCAAAAATATGAATAAAATGACGCTGTTTGCAAGATACAAAAAAAATATTGGCGATTCTTAAGATGTGCTGGTGATAGTGGCCATAGTTCTGTATCAATAATTTAACGATGATTAGTTATTGAAAAGTAACAGTTGGAAGATTTGACGTCAATTTTGTAAACAGTATAATATTTTAATGTTTTGTTATGCATGGTGTATCAATCAATAAAGAAATCATCCAACTTTAGTATAAAACACCGATAAATGTACTATTTTGGCCATTGACATGTTAATATAATTATATAAGGGCATACGGACTTTGTTATTTGGTGAATAGCAGGACTTGTATGAAGGCCTCCATGACGAGTGCATGCCATAGAACTGATGCAACGACGTAAAATGACCTCCATAGAATTATGATCCCCTTAATTTTTTATTGACTCCCTGATCATGATATTATGACCCTCAGTCAAAGTATTAATTTCGAATTTCGAATACCGCAAACTTCATTTATAGAGTAAAAATATGATTTCTTAATAAACTGACAGAAGCCGCATATATAATATGTTGGCGAGGGTGATATAAAATCTTGACAGGTATTAAATATCCACATATATCACTCCAAAACCAAAATAATAATTTTATAACCATTCCCCTGCCGAGTAAAACGATTTTAATGACGCCACTATGTCTGTACATGAAGTATTTGTTTTCGTTCCTAACAAATGTAAACAAGAGAAAAAGAGTAGTCTGTTTAAGACACTTATTTTGTAATTAATATCAAGCTTTGACAATGTCATATTTGTTTTAAATACCGGTGAAAATATTTATCATTACTCTATTTTGGTAAATATGTTTTAATTTGACAGTTAACAAGTGCTACTAGATCTAATTCTGGATTTACACTGCGCATCATCAAACCGTACGCGCATTGCCATAACGACGTGGGTACCCAAAGAGGAAATTTAATGGCTGGCTTGATTATATAAATCTCTTTCGTCCGCCCATTCATCTATGATATACATGTACAATTATATGGAAGGGAATATCCGCCACTCTAATTAATATGAATACATTGTAATTAATATGAAGACATTCTTATTATTTTGAAGACATTCTTATTGATAGGAAGACATTATTATTATGAAAACATTGTTATTAAATTTATGAAAACATTATTATTAATACGTTGTAATCATTATGCAATATTAAGATGTTGTACTTGCTGACGTAACTTGAGTTCTTATTGAAATATGCGAACATTCAATTTACACTTCAGATCTAAGGCTGTAAACTATAATTAGATATTTAATTTGCTGGCTTTCTAATATTTTTCCTTTATTTGAATTTGCTCTCTAAAATTAATTTGACACACATTTTATTCTTACAGTGTTTCAGTATTTATTTTACAAAAATCATGGTAATTTTAGTCGCATGCTGACATTGTGTATTATGTATTCGAAACAGCAGTTTGCATAGCACACTAAGAGTTTCGAAGTATAATTCAAAATTAATTAGGTTTTTGCGCTAGAATTGGCCCTTTTAATCAACGAGGAATAACTGGTAAAAATTAAAAAAAATAATAACCGCTCCCTGACCGGTGTTCACAAATCTGATACTACGAAAATAGAAAACTAATCCGATCATGTGGAGGTTCATGACTACCAAATGTTTCCCCTATATTTAACGTATAGTAAAAAGGCCAAGTTTGAGGCAAAATATCTCAAAATCCGCCGCATACAGTATGCCACATGCATACCTTTTCTGACAGATCTTAAAAAATGAGTTGATTTAATGAATAAAAATGATGTTTTACAAGGCAGGGTATCACGATGTTTTATCGGATCTTTTCCATGAGGTGATTTTTACGTCCGCACCGAAAGTGATCAGTTGGTATTTAACAGCGACCTCTGTCATAAGAAAACGCACAGTCACTTCAAAATTGGTTCCCCGCTTCGTTTTTTGATAACGTCAACATTGTTATGAAGATGATTTTGTTTTAATTAGTCAATTTTTAACAGCATTTTATAATGCGAATGATGTTTCGATTGTTTTGATTAAATGTTGAACATTTTATTACAAATGAATTAACAAATATTCGGTAGCGTCCATACAATGAATACCTAATGTTGATTTTAATGTGTGATTTTGAATTTAAATGTATTAAATATATTTTAAGGGAAATCATACCAATTTTCAGAATGAAACAAGAAGAACGTGTATAAAAATAAAATTAACGTATAACAAAGATATATTTCAAAATACCTTTATAATTATAAAGATACGAAATACATTAAGTCTTGAAAATAACCAAAATCTAACATCAAATTCACTAACGCAAAAGTAAAAACGGAAATTAGAATGTCATAAAGCATATAATAAGTGAACTGGCGGATAATCCCTTCCATACAATTCTGGTAAAATCCAATTAACCATTGAAAAGTTTAAAAGAATATCTGGTCATCAGATGTCTACTAGTTCATCGTCACTTGCTGCATTTCTTGCTTGGACGCCATTGGATGCTTTGCATCAATGACTTTCTTGTTTAACATGATAAACCATTTGGCGCGAAACATGTTATAGACATTTTGAAAAATAAAGTCGGTTTGCTTTATTTACATGTAGATTTGAATATTTACAAGAATGATTAGTTGTTGATATTTGTAGAAAGTGAGTAGCATTATAGGTGAAAAAGAAAATGTACATACTTTGATATTTTTATCATCTGATATTACTGACTACAGTAGTGACACAAACAGAACAATGTTGCACTACTGTCATGTCACATTACATTTACAAGTCTTGTAAGTCTTGTTTGTATTGGAATTACTTTCCTTACCAGGTAGGCATCAGTGAAAGCATTTTTTTTAAAATTTAATATCTGGCCCCTCTGTCATGGACAGTGCATACGATAAGTATAATTACGCAAATTAAAATGATTTACACAGCATCCGGAATAATGTACACTAGTCCTTAATCTAAATAGAAAATGATTTGCGCGCAGAAATGATTTTGTATGGTATCTGTAATGAGCGAATTTTTTACGCGGAGCTTCTCAATTGATGCATTGCAGCAACATTTGTACTTGTATATCAAAGAGTTAAAATTTCATTACAATGTGGATAGAAATACTTGTCAGGTTTCGAGGGGGGGGGGTCAGCTCGGAAAAGAAAGAAACAAAGAAAGTTAAGCCGTGCAAATAAAGTTTTGTGTCGATAATTTTGGAAAATGGGCCCTTTTCGTAAAAATTAAAAAAAAAAATGAAATTAATTTAAATGCAGTGTAATTCTAAACTAGAGTATTGTTTAAAAATGTTAATTAATATTTATCATCATAAACTAGTTTGGGTTTTAAACGATGCATTGCCTTATTTCCATGACTGTCTTATTTTTTATTAAGTGTCCGATACATGGACGGGCTTGTCTGACCAGAGGTCAGAGGGAATCTGGAGATGGTTTAACACGTATAACCATGCATCAATGTCTGACTGGGGTCCAGGGGAGCCAAACAACCTAGGAAATGAAGACTGCGTTGGATTTTATACCGAAAAGAATTATCATTGGAATGACTTCAAATGCAACAGAAAATTAAGGCCATTGTGTGAGAAACTGTAAATTATTGAACATGAGCATTGTTTACGTTAACTATTTTTTGATATATAAGGTTTTGAGAGAAAAAATAAGATGGTTTATTTTATATTTGATGTACATTGTATAGACGCCAGAAATAAACGAAAATGTATACGAAGATTACTAGTAATCAGTCTTGGGTCAATATTGCATATCAAAATAAAAGGTCTAGTGGAATGCACAATTGAATTCATGTGCTCCTAAATTGGTAAGGATTATTTCTAGCTTTTATATTACTCAAAACATTACAATATTGCAATAAAAAGAAAGATAAAAACTCATGGTGTCCATGTTTAAAAAGCACAATGATTATTTTGTATATATTTTAATGTCAATAAAAGTTAACGCCTCTTTTTTATGTTATTCTTTCATTTGTCGACAGCAAACTACTTTAAGTGCTTACGACCACACTGAGTCAATTTTATGATAGATATTTTTAATCTACAGGTTCATTTGAAACTAAGTTATATCTAATTGGTTAAACAATGCAAAGCCATGAAATGGAAGTCCACCATTCTGGTTCCTAACTGCTGAGACTTAGTTGAAACCTTGTTTTAAACATATTATATTAGTGCATTGTTTATCAATGGTTTACCAAGGTAAAGCGTGGTTTTCGATACAGCCATTTTCCCGTTCCAGAAACAATCCTGGTTGAGTTAAACATGCCCCGATTACTGCATATAGCTCTCGACGAATATACATGGTGCATATCCATATCGATACCCTCTGTGAAATGTACTAAAACGGTACCATCTTTGCACATGCACAGGTCATTCTCTGCTGAAAACAATCGGGGGGGGGGGGGGCATATACCATTCCAGTAAATAATGTATCAAAGTTCCAGCTTGCCAAAGAGATCAAATTTCCAATATCATCAACATCTTCATATCCATCCTATGATTATATTACTTTGAGATAACTATTTTACTTCATAACGGAATGAAGAATGATGGTTCCATTTGAAAAGTAAAGATAATTGCCAAAGGAGTTTCAATTCGACCGTTGTTAGTTTGGAATATATTTAGACGATTTAGACAATTAAACAAATATTTATTGTGTTATGTTGAAACTGATCATCTTGTCTTTTTAAGTAATTTAACTTTTAAGACATCATTTTTAGCACTTCTGTTCTAAACAAGCTGCTTATCTTGTCCGAATCGAATACTTTTGGGAGAACAACTTCCTGAAAGGTCTTTCTAAGAATTTGAAAGGTAATAAATCATATTTTTGTCGTACCTTGCTCACATATAAAAATACATGCAATGGCGCCGTTATGCTTGTGAAGACACATATGATTGGTTAAGGCTATTGTTCTCTCATCAGACTACGTGCTAAGCTGCTAATTTCTCTGACTATTATTGACATACATAAGAAAAGATATTGATTATTGTTTTGAAATGTGCATGACTGTATTTACAATAACATAACAAATAATGGCAAGAAAAGACACCCTGCCCATTGGATCTATGGTAATCCGTCTGTCTGTCCGTCCGTCCTTCTGTCCGACATTTTTGTCCGGAGCATATCTCAAAAAGTATTTGAGGTATCAACTTGAAACTTCGTAGGTGGGTTTATCTTTTTAAGGAGGAATGCTGTGCGGAAGAGTGATAACTCTACCTTTTATAATGTGGATAGATTATAGTGAGGAGGTGTGCAGTGCACAAGAATGATAACTCATCCCTGCATATTTTTTCAGTTATTGCCCTTTGTTATTTTTCAAAATTAATTTTTGTCCAGATCATAACTCAAAAAGCCTTTGATATATCAACATAAAACTTCATAGGTGGGTTTATCTTTTTAAGGAGGAATGCTGTGCGGAAGAGTGATAACTCTACCTTTTATAATTTTTGAGTTATTGCCCTTTGTTATTTTTCATACATTTTGTCTGGAGCTTATCTCAAAAAGTACTAATCATTTATTGCCCTTTGTTTTTTATTTCATACTTACTTTCACCTGAGTGGGCATAACTCAAAAGTATTTGAGATGTCAACTTGAAACTTCATAGGTGGATAGATCTCATTGAGGAAGAGTGCAGCACACAAGAATGATAACTCTACCCTGCATTATTTTTCAGTTATTGCCCTTTGTTATTTTCAGCCATCAGTATTCACATAGGTTTCAAGTCTGTAATCACTTCAGCCATCAATTTTCATTACCAAAAGACCTCTTAAAATTGAATTATTCTCCTCTACTACATATACATTCTTTCAATGAGCAAACACATTCGGCGGGGGATGGCCATGTTAACATGGCTCTTGTTTAAAGAAGGTTACACATTAAAAACATACAATAGCAATCATTTATATCTTATTTCCAATGTGGCCCTCTGAAATAGAAAACAACAACAACAATAACAGGACATGCATAGGTAGAAAAATTCGTTCGTTCATTCATTTATTCATTCATTCATTCATTCATTCATATGAACATCAAGATATGTTTTGTATTTTTTTTAAAACATTTAAGGTTAATAACATTACGAATATTTAAAGGTATATTGTTCCAAATGTTCATGCCATAATAAGAAAATGTGTCTTTATTATAATTTATTTTAGGTCTTGTCCATAATACAATATCTTTCGTGACCTAGATCTTAAGTTATATATTTTGTTTTCGGATAAAGTCATCAGTATACAGTATTTGTATGCCACAAGTACAATAAAAAGAAGTCACTTTTACACAAAATTAAAATATATAGAAATGTTAAATTATATTACTTCGTTAAGTCGAGATATTAAAATTTTGTTTTTATTTTCGTATGAAAACATTCATTTATCATGGTCCAAATTAATGGCGAGACTAAGCTGAGCATAAATATTAGTAATGAAACAGCTTGAACAATAAAGAGAAATTATTTAACAAATGTTAAAACATATGATTGCTATTAAGACAACTTAAAGCAATTGTTAAAAAGTAACACCTATTCCTATATAAATATTTAAGTAACAATGTCAATAATGCATTATAAAACAAAAATAATACATGTACATGGTCATTTACATTAGATTTCTTGAAAACATAACTTTTCTTCTTTTCGAGAAAGAACATATTCCATATAGATGAACTTAAGCGTATATCTACAAACACTACATATTATCACGTAAATAAATTCCTTATTATTTTGCTGTGAAACTACAAAACCGTAAAATAATCTGAACTTTTTTGTAACAAATATTCCAAATTGTTTCCTCGAACCATGTTAAGTCAAAGTCTTTAACGCCGCTATAAATAACATTTACTCACTTAGTCTCCCTCTTCGTTATGAAGATTTCAAAGTATAAAGCTATGCCTAATCACACATTTTTATAAAATTAACGATAATGTTTTCAAAATTTTAAAAGGTCGATTCTGAATAGAGTTATAACATAGAATAACAAAGCAGTAGTAGTGCGTGGGGTTAAAGAGACCCATGTACGACTCAAAGCTTTCTGTGTTATAAGTCTCTGATGGAATGTCTCAGTTATCTAACGCACATACATACTGTATTGATCGTAAATAGAAAATAAATGTTACGGAACAAATATATATGATGTTATTTTATTATAGTTATAACGTTTTAGCAATGAGTTCATACATGCGCAATTTCTTCCTTATTTACAATAATTATCCTTCAAACAGGTATTTTGGAACTATTATCTTTTCAAAAACGAACTATAATGTTGTAAACACATCAGCTATATAGCTATATACACTTTAAATGAACATTTGTGAAGTTATAAATGAATATTTAAAGGAAATTTATAAAGCAATATCAATTTGTAAACTCGGAATCTTTGAAAAAAAGGTAGATTTGCGTGTAATTTTACCTTCCATACACCAACTTTCATAAATCTTTTATAAGAAGCTGCAATACGATAAAAAGGCACAGAAAGTTTATTAGAACATATATATACATTCATTACAGAAACAAAAGACAATAAATAGAATATTCTAGATGGACAAACAATCATTTATTGTTGGTTTTTCAATCATTTGTTGCTGTTAATTTACAATTGAATCAATAAACCTTTCTTTCAGTTTTTAGATCATAAATTAGAGAACTAGACGCCATAAATTTGCAACTTCCTCAGTAAATTTTATGTTAAATTGTAATATTCTCTTTCAAACACAGCTAACATTGCTGTTATAAACACATCAAAATATTGTACGTATATTGTCAAGGTCATATTAACATTATCAAAAGCGCTAATTGCTTGCATGACCAATATTTGTATGAACAATATCTGTCAAAATGCTTGTTTGTTTTCTAAGTTTTATTTCTTTACCACCTTTTAATCTTTACCTTAACATAATCATACAACAATTCATTCATTTTACATATCTCATTTCAACATATTCATTTTTTTCATCAATAAAATATTCAAAATTGTTTACTTCTTAAAAAACACATTATTCTGGATTTACAAAGCCACTTTGAATTTTCCCCACCATTTCTGAATGATACAAAACGACAACATTCACATATATAATTCAGAAGAAAAAAAAACAACAAAAAAACAACAACAAAAAGAACAACAGCAATTACTTTTTTATCATTTAAAATTGTCGTCATCCACGAAGTAACGAGCAGAATATACTCTAATGGTAATGCCTAATGAATGGTCATGTGCCATGTGATTTGTGTTTACTATATCATTTCAGCAATGTTTCTATCTTGTAACTTATGGCTCATTTACATCACAATAAATCCTCGTTACAACAGTAATGTTAGTGAATACTTCGTTAAAAACAGTCAATAAATCAGTACTTAACATAATTATACCCTAGTATATTACTCATATAATGTTATGATATTTACATTGTAAGTCGTGTAGTAATGTATCAAGCGTGTACCCTGTGCACACATAACCTTAAATGACAGGCCATTTCCACGTGCAAGTAGTGCAAACCAAAATTAAAGGAGAGAGTTTCTAAAAAAGCTTCTAGCTTTCTACTCAATCCTTTTTGCATTTTATTGTAATATATTGTGTATATATATATATATATACATTTGCTGAAATAAAATATTGTTTAAACCAAACCAAAATGAAACAACATACATGTACTATTATGTTGAATAATTCAAGTATGCCCTCGATCTGAAAATGACCTTCACTGTCAAGATCAGAGATGAGAAATTTTAATCAATTTTCATACAAGAAAGTTATGTTTTCTTGGAATAACCTTCAACAATAATATTCTACCAAAGATTAAAAAAATAAATAAATAACCAGCGACTGATTGGCCGTGCAGCGTATTCCACTCGCTAAGATTTCCTAGATTTTAAATCGATAACCATTTTTATTTTTGCGTGTCATCTTGCTTCACAACATGGGCCATCTTTCCTTAAAATTGTTTGAAATTAACAGACTACTGCTACTTTGCATACACATATAGATCTGAATGATGAAGCGCCACTTCAAAGATTACGCCACTTGCAATGCCAAAGGGAAGTAACTTTGCAAAACTAAAATTGTATAAGATGGGGGCATGCTTTAAAAGGATACACAGACTAAGAGGGAATAATCTAAGGGGAAACTATATATTTATAATTAAGCAAAATATATACAAAGACACATTGTGTTTTCTCTATCTTGATTCAACCGAATCAATAATGAACATCCGCTCTCAAAAATCTTAGAGATATAGGTGCATCGTTCTCTAGTTGTAATAGGTTGCACAAGCCAAGCTGTTTGTTTCTCCAGGTATAGGCCAAACAAGCTTTTCTTGAGGTAAAGGCTACTGTGACATCGACCTTTGACTAGCTGATCAAATATCAAAAGGTCATCTGTTAGTCAAAAGGTCATTGTAAATTGTAGAATTGTATTCCTAAGTGTTTTCTAGTAATTTTGTCATACAAGCATTTTGAGTTCAAGGACAAAGTGACTTTAACATTTGATCGACTGACCGTCATCTACTGATTAGATAATAGAGGTCATTCTTCAATATTGTAAAGTTAAGACCACAAAATATAGCCAAACTATACACAAGCGACACAATACACAATCGTTTGTTTGTTTCAGCATGTTGTCCAGATGGCTGGATATCGTACAAGTCACATTGTTACTTGATAGGACGCGTAAGATGTACGTTTATGGAGGCACACATAAGACAGTAAACATGTTATATAACATCTTTTTTATCTATTTAATAGTTTGATGTTATAGGAAAAATACAATTTTCCAGATCCGTTGATATTAAATACGATCGGCAACGAACGTAACAATTTCATGAAATATTTGTGCTCATTTATAAAGATATACATGCTTTGTGTTTACTTTATTACATTTTACAGAGATAAACGTTAAGCTTTAACCTTTTACTTAATTGAATAAAAAGTTTCCAATTACAATTTTTTACTGACATGCATTGTCATTGATAGATGCATATTTCAGTCTTTTACAAGTCTACAACTGTACACGTGCTAAGACTGATTGCTTAATCGTGTGACAAACCAATCTTTATTTAAAATGTGTCAAAATTCATGTGTACTTATATGACTTGATACATATTATTGAAAGTTTCTATATCATTTACCATTGCAAATATTTTCCAAAATTTACCTTATATCATTCAGAGAATTGTGAAACAGTTTATGTATGACCACATATTTTTTGTAGTTAAAATCATCTTGCCAGTTTATGGGCTTAACAAAATTTAATAATAATTATTTTAGTACTATTGTTCGCTACGAGGTGGTCACCTTGTCCAAATCGACGACTACTGGGAAAATAAATTTCTGAAAGATATGTTGAAAAATTTGAGAGGTAAATATATCTATATGTCTTATAGTGCCTTGCCCATACATGTGTAAAATGACACCGTGACTGGTAAGGGGTAGAGACTCTGTTTTTTCATTCGAAAAAATGTGAATTATGTAAAATTATATTACGAACAAAGATTTGAAATTTACTAAGCTTAAGATATGACAAAAGCGCGAATTAAGCAAGACATACCTTTAATTTCACATGTATATACCATATAGTTTTCAACGAACATGTTATTGACAGAGTCAAAACTATGTACCCAGCTTTTAGTGTTTCAATTGGTCAAAGTGAATACTGATTCTTCTTTAAACTTAAGTTTCAAATATAAAAATTGATGCTGCCATGTTGCCGATCTTAATATGCATTATAACAAAATGAATACAATAGAAAAAAAAATCAAGCAATACGCTTATTGAATTAAGGAGAGTTATTAATTAATTGTCTTTTGCTTTAAAAAGTTCTATATACAGGTACAAAGGATATAAAAACAACTGATTACATTCAGTAAAATGATACTGTGAGCATATCATTTTATAGTGTACGATACATAGACAGGATTGTCCGACCAAATGTCGGAGGGTATTTGGAGATGGTTTGGTACAAACAAACTCGTACAATTTTCCGACTGGGGTCGTGGACAACCGAACGACTACCGTGGAAGGGAAGATTGTATGGGATTTAGGCCACAACATAATTACTATTGGAATGATTACTATTGCTACGATAAAAATATACCATTATGCGAGAACCCGTAGTAAAATAAAATGCAGTGTTAACAAAAATGCATGAAGTGATATCTTATTCTTTTTGGGAAATAAAAGTGAATTAATCTTATTGCCGTACCTATTTGTGTAAATCTCCTTTATCATCCAAATTGCACATTACTCTTTCTTCTATTTGGATGATAGAATAACCCATCGTGAACAACGAAAATAGAAAAACATAGTATAACACGCAATCCGTTGTAAAGATGAATACTGACCAACTCACTCTCTTACATTTATGATCATTTTTCATATTAATTGTATCTTTTCGAAGTATCGACACCTGTTGAAGTATAAAGTATTATGACTTTTAAAAAAAATATACATATTGATTCTCGTTTATTAATCTACAGACAAATAAACTCTATCTCTATAAAATAATGGCTCAAGTTAAGAAATCAGACATATAACATATTAGTTCCCAAAAGTTAATCAATCACAAATTTCTTATTTCAATTAAGAAATATTGAAACAATGAGACAGAGTTTCATCCAATCAATCAATAGTTAACTGAATTCTTATCAAAAAAGTGTTTTTTTTTACGTACACATATATATTTATATATATATTATGTTTCTTAATATTTTAAAAAAAAAACAAAGAAAAAGACAACCCGACTGAGAAAAACATTTATGAAGATTATTCTAATTACAGCTATGCATTCAAAATTCGAGGTAAAATATTTAGACTTAAACGTTTGTCTTGAGGGACGTTGCACCTTTCCGTTATCTCTCATGAACAGACTCACCCATTTAGTGTTGAATATTTACCTCTTAAGCAGGTGCTATGGGCGTGAGGGAAGTTGCACATTTCCATTATACCTCATGAACATTCTCAATCCAACCGAGTCTGTAATGTTCATGTTATTTTCTTGCTTCTATTGCTTCCAATACAAATTTTAACCATTCATGTACTGGTGCAATCAAACTAAGCCTTCAGCTTTTTGACGTTTTTGGGCCATCTTTAGACAATTTCTTTTTCTCTATTAAGTTTGCAATATAAATGACATCAAAATGTTGAAAATCAAACTACCAAAAAACGGATCCTTCACTTTTATTAAATTATGACAAACGATCATAATATTCTGTTGTCGAAAGATGTTGCAACAGATGTTTTACGGAACTCGGCAAATGTGGGGATTTCCATGCTAATCCCTCGGTGTAAACAAACTTTTACCGTTATAGCTTCACAGTGCACTATCGGTCACAATATATTAGTTAACCTGTTGCACTTAATTTCGAAGGTTTGTTTGGACCCCTGAATTAGCTGGTAATGTTCAAATATTATTTATTTAGACGGGCTTTTGGACATTAGTGGAGCTCCTTTTAAATTGACCAAAGTGCTATTTAAATACATTGAAATGTATTATATGATGCTGATAATGTATTTTTGTTTGAAAAAGACACAGTGCATTGTAATTCAGATATAAAAATTCTTCATTATAAACTAGAAGCAAAATAGTGCACGTATAAAAATTTGATCGCAATAAAAAAACGGAGATGTAAATGGAGTTCAACTGCAACATAAAATTACATAACACCTTCAAAACGTAACCTCCTAAAACAAACTGCAAATAATAATTTAAGAATTTATTCTATAACATATCTTGTACAATAAGATAGAGGCATAAAGTCTTGATCATATTTTGTACGTTTATGCATAAGGATTTATTACAGAAGATTAATATTGGTTACATTTTTAATTACATGTATTTACATCCATGGTAAAATGAATATTGCCACTTCATTATAAAGTTTTGATACACAGACAAAGTTAAATTTTACAATCACATTATACACAATGTAGGAAAATTATTGAAATAAAGTACGGTCTAGATGCGTAAATAATAATTAAATTTTCTTTCTCAGCATTTATTTAGAATAGCATCATTATACCCTTCTTTCAGTTTTGAGATCATAAATTCTAGAACTAGACGCCATGAATTTGCAACTTCCTGAGTAAATTTTATGTTAAGTTCTTTTTCAAACACAAATAACATTGCTGTTATAAACAGATCAAAATATTGTACGTTAAATCCGGTATAGTGAATATGCTGTTGTCCGAGTCCAAATAACAATGACGTCATTGCCGTATCAAGGTCATTGACATTATCCACAGCAGCACCAACTGCTTGCATGAACCGAGAAGCATGACCACGGAAGTGGGTGTCACGCATTAATTCCTCGCCAGTACAATCCCTGAAAGGAAATATCTGCTTAATTTCTGGTTTCAAAGAAAAGATTTTTAGAAATATTTTCGCCCCAATTCCTGGCATATCCTTGGATAGAATTTTCCACGTCTTCTTCACATTACGTTTATCATAATCATTCACGATACGCCTGTCGTTCATGCCCAGTTTGCCGTTATGTTTGTGACCAATAGTAACACTTCTTGATGGAGAGCACCCCATATTTACATAAAATTCGTTTGTTGTCTCTTTTAATATTATTTCTTAAAAAAGGTTAAATTTCAGATATTTGAATTTACTGAAAAGTCTTTTTTCATTGTTTTCTATGTGTCGTTTAGTAACACCTTTAAATCTTTTTAACACCACAATTCAACATTACTCTTCAAGCTAGTTATCATTTTACATATCGTATTTCAACACATTAATTTGTTCGTCAATAAAATATTCAAAATTGTTTACTTCTTAAAAGCCCCACATTTTTCTGGATTAACATAGCCACTTTGAATGTTCCCCACTATTTCCCTACCGTTTCTGAATGATAAAAAATAACAATATTCCATATTTATTTCCGAGACAAAAACAACAACACATTTTTATCATTTAAAATTGTCGTCATCCACGAAGTAACAATGAAAATAATAGAGCAGAATATACTCTAATGGTAATGCCTAATGAATGGTCATATGTGATTTGTGTTTACTATATCATGTCAGCGATGTTTCTATCTTGTAACTAATGGCTCATTTACATCACAATAAGTCCTCGTTACAACAGTAATGTTAGTGAATACTTCGTTAAAAATAGTCAATACATCAGTAGTTAACATAATTATACCCTAGTATTATAGTAGTTACTCGACGGGAAACATTTATTGGGTGCAAACAAAACTACTAGTATTAAGGTGTCAATTTGAAGGTATGTTCAATAGAAAAAAGTTACTAGATATATCAATGTGATATAAGAATCGAAACCCATTTCCCAGTTAAGAATTATTCATTTATTCGTTTTTGGTGCCCTTTTAGGTCAGTCAAAAACTTTGAATTTAAACTCCGAGTTGTTCGTACAGGCGTCCGGGCCGAGTGGTTAAGGCTGTGGTCTTCAGATCATTTGCCCTCACCACTGTTGGTCCGAATCCCGACAGAGACTTTGGACTCTTTCATATGAGGAAGTTATCCAGATACTTTATGGAATGTTGGTGGTTCTACTCAGGTGCCCGTTTGTGCCTGAAATATAGCAAGGAAGGACATCTGAGGTTTCCTCCAATAGTAAAGCTGGAAAGTCGCCTCATGATCTCTATACTGTATTGGTGCGTCATAAAACCCAACCATGAAAAAGTGTTCGTTTTTTGGATATAAATGATATTGGAACATATATATGTGTAACAATCAATATTAGTACACAAACACATGTGTTAATAATGCCCTTGCAAATACCTTCAATAACCTCAATCATAATGTAGCCGAATATGTTGAATAATATCATCTGATTTCAAGCTAGATTAAAGGAAATCTGCAGATTCATTTTGGAGACAATAGTGCCTTAAGGGCACTCGATTTTTTCTCTCTAAAAAGCCTGAAAGTTACATTATACACCTCTAAGAGGTTTTCGCATGACCCAAAACACAACTATAGTACCGTGTTCATATTATTTAATGTAATCAAAAATGATATCCATTGAGTATATCCAGGAGAAAATCTAACAAAGCATAGACAAGTAAGTTTAAAATGAATTTATGGTTGTTTAACTGTGTAGAAGGCTATAAACGTGTAGACAGACTTTCAACTCCGTTCCTGGAACCAACCAGCACCGAGCAATCAGTGTAAAGTTCAAGCCCCGTCTTTGGCAACAACTCAAAGACGCAACGGCTTGCCCTAGACATGGTTTAACTATAGGCGGTCAGGGAACCTGAGATTACTTTCCGATGCGTTCATCACTTTGCCACGCCGTCATTCGTTTTTTTAAATGCTCTTTTTAAATGATCACGGTAAAAGTATTATAATTTCATTCCATTTCATGTGTTGTCAAAACGCAAAAGAAGAATAACTTTAACTGTACTAATTGTAAAAACGCAAAAGAAGCAACAGATGTCTCAACTTTATTATCGATGAGTAACGTTTGGGAAACTATAAGAGGACATCAAAAGTAAAAAAAAATGAAGAAACAAAAATAACATTTTTAGACTTAACGAGCCTTCAACATACAAGTGCTGTGCCATGGAAATCCATGAAATCCAAGAATTTTTCTATGAATATTTATGGCATAAAATAATTTTGTTTTTATATGGGATTATATCATTGAGGTATAAAAAAGCAATCACAGAGAAGAACGAATGGCGTTTTTGAATATATGGTTTATGTGAAATACCAATACATCGGTTAATATTTTCAATCAGGAAGAGAATATCACCCGTTTTATGTACATGGATCTGTGCGCATGACCGTTAAGAAAATGTGGTAATCTGCTATGTAAGCATAGCTATCATACACCGTTTCATAAGGTTAATTTATTGTCAAAATGAATTTAAAGACGGGGCAAATAATGTGTATAATTGTATGTTTTGTCGCTATTTTTGTTGGAGTTCTGACAGGTAATCTAAAAAAATAATTTAATACTTTATTAACATTATTTAAATTTTAAAAGTTTGTTCTATCAAAAAAGTGTTTCAAACTAAATCTTTGGACAGCCAATGTTTTCAAACATTAATTTTAAATGAAAAAAAAAACATAACCATAATTCAAACAAGATAAAAACAAAAAGTATAACACTTGTGTAGCTATCAAATGAGTTGCCCCATTATTTTATTACTTTTGATAAACTCCTCTGTTTTATCAGATACTACTCTTTTAGCATTCAAGTAACAATAAAGTTCAAAGACAAAGAAATGTGCACTTATTATATTGATATGCAATTAAAATACGCAGGGTGCTTTCATTAATTGAATTTTATCCATGGTATCGTTTATGTGTTAAAATGTCTTAATGTTTTTACTGATGATTCTCAATTCGACATGTTATTTTTTAACTAAAACTGTATATTGAATATTGCTGTCAGAATGAGATGACCCGTATCTAATTATTATTTATTTAAGATGCGACCTCAACAAACTGCTTCAGCTCGGCTACAGGTATTTATTTCGTTTTGCTCTTAATTTCTCCAAGAAAGACAAAAAAAATAAATAAAAAAATACAAATTTTTATATAACATATTGATAAATAGAGAAATGTATTATGAGCCGTGTGCATTGTTAATATCAGAAACATACGTGTACAAAATTCAGTTACATAACAAAACTTAATCTAAGTTTTCTTATATCAGATGTTAAATACCTTTTAAGTTTCAAAGTATTCTAGTTTACTAGCACTGCATAACGTATTGGAAGAGTGAAATTTAAAACAGTTAAAAGTGCACATTAAGTTAATGTATTAGAATGACAATATTATGTACTCGTATTAGCTAAAGATCTTATTAATTTTCCACTCAACAAATGTTCTAAGTACTGCAATCTTTCAAAAATATGTGTATCTACTGAACGAAACCCCGAAAGCGCATGTTTTTGTATCATTTTAAAACTTTTAGAATTAAAAATCAAAATGCACCATCGAAGCACTCCTTTTGTCTAACGTAAATCTGAAATAAACGAAATGAAATTTTTTTTTCCCTTGCAAAAAAATTTCGGTTTTATTTTGGAAAAAAATTTTGATGTACTATTAGTTATCCCCAAAAAACGGTTTTGTTTGGTCGACCGCCCGGTTTTAAAAACCGCCCTTTTAAAAGGAAAAAAAACCAGGAAATGAAAAAAATTTCTTAAATTGTTTAGTCCATAATCTAAAAAAACCCCAATTTCATTTTCAGACCCTATGCCAAAAAGCACAAATTCCTGAAATTTTCCCAAAGTATCATCAAAGAAACCATTTTTTCTTTGGGTAACCCCAAAAAATCACCCTTGGGCATTTTGTGACGTTTACTCAATTTAAAATCTAATGGTACAGAATAAACCCATGAGGCAAAAAAAAAAAAAGTTGTCCGAGCATGTACATGTGTGGAACAAAGTTTCCTATCTGGATGAACGGTAAAAATACTGATAAGTATTCTATATTTTAAAATGTATTCAACCAGTTCGATTAAAATGTACATTTGTAGATGTAACATTTTAAGTAAACAAAGAAGCAGGTTTTTTTTGTTTAAAAATCCCGTAAAACCAGAAAATTTGTGAGACAAATTTTTGATTGAATTTTTGTTGTTATATCTGAAATAAAGTAAATAAAAAAGGTTTTATAATATTAACTATTGGTTTTTTCCTTTATATTCCCTGATTACACGTCGTTTCTAGGGCAGAACCCAAAACCCGGGGGAAAAGGGGGGTGGTGAATCGTAAATTCCCCGTTGGGAAGAGATTTTGACATTTTTTGTTCCCGAGGACGCTAAATTAAAAAGCTGTCATTGTGTTTCAGTTTTATGGCTTATTGTTTTTGTTGGGCCTGCCTTTGTTGCCATCAAAAAATTTTTTTTTGGGAATCGTATTTTGTTTATACTTAAATTTTTAAAAAAGTTTTGTCTTGATAGATTTCTTAAACAATTTGTATCTTGGAATGAAAGATGTTGACAGCGTTACATCTTTTTTGATAGACCCTATTTAAAACATTTGTGTATTATTTCTTGCCCCTCTTAAAAGTTTAGCTTAAAATTCAAAATAGTTTCCTTTTGGGCCTTTTTGTTGAATTTTCAAGGGGTTTTGAAACAATGATCTTTTTTTCTTCTTTAAAATTTTAAAAAAAAAGGGGCAACCGCGGTTAGAGGGAAAATAAAATTTCCAACAGAATTTCAAATAATTACGATCAAAAATTTTTATTCATTTTTAAAGATAACAAAAGACATCTACCACTTTAACAACCCCGCAAAAAGATTTAAAATTTAAAAGACCTTAACAAATACCCCGCGAAAGATTCAACCCAAAACCAAATTTTCCCGCAGGAACGGACTCGTAAAACAAAGGAACACCCCAAATTTCAACCAGACAGAAAACAAACTACAAGTCCGGGGTCTGAAGACTCAGGGACAGTTTTTAGAAAAAAGGTAAACCTTACTTATAAAAATTTTGTAAATTTTCACCGGGGTGATCTTCCCTTTAAAAACCATGATTGAAAAAAAAATTGAACAATTTTGCCTCGTTTTCATTTTTCCCCAGTCAAAAAATTTAAAATTAAACCATATTCACTCTTTCTAGCCCCCGTTTTCATCTTCCCATCCGAAAATTTCCATTTGTAAATCCATATTGGGATCGATTAAAAATGTTATTTTTGAAGAAAAATTTATGCGAAATTTTTCCCTTGTTGGTTTCCCCTACTGATTCTAAATTGGGCTTTTACAAAAGCTTCAACACCTTAAAAAAAATGGGTTTTAAAAACTTAATTTATAAGAGGGGTTAGTAAGATCCCTAGTGCTTTTCTGTTTTTTTTGTTGTGGGGGGTAGGTAATGCTTTTGAATTTAAAAAGTGTGCATTAGGTGAAAATGGGGTTTTTTTCCTTAAAGCCAATTCACTACATCAAATATTTTGGGGATTTCCCTGAAGTGTTGCAATAAGTTAAGAGTTTCAAATAAAAAATTTAAAAAAAAAACCTAGGTTACATGTCTACGGGAGACTTTTAAAGTTTAAAATTTTCTTTCAAAAAAAACCATTTCCGGGCTGATTTTTCGAATGCATTAAACGAGATGTGGGGATGTTAAAATTTATTAATTTTTTTAATTTTAATGTTGATCAGTATTTATAAATGGATTTTTCCAAATTTCCCGTTTTGGGGAATCAAATTTTCTCAAAATGAAATTTGGGGAACCAAAAAAGGATCGTTTAAATCAGGGGTTAAAAAAATGTCTCCTTTTAGTCTCGAAAGGGAATGAAAATAGTAAACCAAAGGGCCCTTTTTAAATTTTAAAACCAAATTGTTTTTTTATGAAATCAAACAATATATTTTACTTGGGATGGCAAACTAGAGAAAATCGATTCAAACTTTTCCAAAAACCAAAAAAAATGTTTTTGATTGAAAGAAAACTAACTTATGATTATATTGATAAAATTTTAAAAAATAGGGATATTCAAGTTTTTTCTAAAAAAATACATGATTTATTTTTATCGAGGGTATGAAAATAAATTTTTCATGAGTGGGGGACCACGAGTGAAATATGGTTTTTTTCATGCCACAAGATAAGTATATAATAAAGTAATTTATCAAGAACAAGACGTTAATGTTTACTTTTTTGGTTTCTGTCGTATTTTAAACTTTTGTATAGTGTCTTTTTCTCTGACCCTAACACCATGTGTTGTATATGTACAGGTATGTACTGTGTATCATTCGCTACCTTGTTGTACAACGTACACTATTTTGCTATTGTATTGCGTACATCGGTTTGAAAAGTTTTGTGTGTATTTGGTCCGGTGGTCTAGATTTACATTATAATTATCTTTACGAGATTATTTCAAATGTAATGGGCACTAGTGAATTATACGTCATGCTTTTGTTCGTCATGTGGTTATCATTAATTATTAAAAAAATCTTTAAAAAGCATTTACAAACAAAAAAAAACATATTAAAATTTTTTTTAATTTAAACCCCTACTGTGATAATTTTGATTTAATCATCTTTTCAGCAGACGAGAACAATACTACCCAGTTAACTATAGCAGTATCAGTGATTGGTTTAATGATAGCAGTAATCTGTGGCTTACTGATCGTTATCAGTCACCGGAGGCGGTAAGTAATCTTTTATTGTTTTAATTTCATAATATTAAAGCTATTCTTCTTACAATTAGATAATAATCACATAATAATGATATTGAACAAGACGTACATAACTAAAAACATAACATAACTAAAGTTAATCATGATTAGCAAACACAGTTAACAAAAGACTTTATAACAATATTAAAACTAAAGCATATTAAATAACAACAGCGAATTAAGGAGGTAATGTGAATAAGCTCGACCAGATGTAACATTGTTTTTGAAATTCGAGACTCGATATCGTCATATATTTGGTAATTTTACAAGTCACGGGCCAAAACCATTTATAAAGGCTTTCCAATTTACTACCAGGCAACCGTATTTTTAAACGGAAATGATTCGAACTATGACCAAGCTTAAAAGAACCAATGTTAAAACATAATCTTAGATTTATTTGCAAAAAAAAAATGTCTCATTTAGTTTGCAATATTCAATATCCATCCAATACGCGAAAGAAGGGCCACAGCTCATTTTAATTGATAAGATTGTTATCCTGTTCATTTTGAATTATTTACAGAGTGACAAAGGTAAATGGTGAAACTGAGAAGGAACACGAGTATGAAACAACAAAGATTCCAGTTGTTAATGAGAATGTTTATTACGTCATTACTCCCGATACTCTAGATTAAGGAAAGTTTGGAGATGAAAAGTAGAAATGCTTAGGATCAATTCACTCCCGAAGAGAAAACTAACCACTTTCTTAAACTGCAATAAGTGTTACAATATTACTTTAAAAGATGCAGAAAAAAATATTCAAACCGCAGTCATAATCAGCCACAAAATCGATATTGCATGAGCTTGATACTGTTAACTGAACATATAATAAGTGAATGTTTCACAGAAACGATAATTCTTATGGATAAAGAATATTTAAAACTGATAAAGGAATTAAAAAGTATTCATTTAGAGTATAACGTTGTTTTGTAAATGACTTGACATTTATAGATTTTCTTATACAAGCTATTTACGAACTATTTTATGTTAACTTACATTGTAAATCCTTTTTACTTATAACAAAGTTTTGTTAAAGGTTTTTATTCAAAATTTTTTTTATTGGTTTTAAAAAAAATAAAAAGGAGTTTAATGCTTTTCCCTTTTTTTGTTTGCAAATATCGTATACAAAAGGGAGTGATGAAACGCAAGAAAACAAAAAAAATAAGGGGATTAAGTTAGATTTGTATTGTTGTTGTTGGGCTTTAATTCACAACGACACTTTACATGTCATATGGCGATTTTCCAGTTTTACTGGTGGAGGAAGTTCCCAGGTTAAACAATGCATATTGTTTTCCCCAATTATCTATTATATCGACGTTTTTGAAAGTTATCTATATTGTTTTATTATGATATCACATAATCTTTATCAGATCTGTCGGTGTAAATTTAAAAAGGTATCTATTTCAACAAATTGACAGTCTTATAAGTGATCTCTTATTAAATTATCACCCAATACTTGCGTTGATATCAAATTGGCCAATGCACATAAAATATTTCATTGCAATAAAATATTTTGATTAACAAAGTATTCATGTTTGTCAGCTCTAAGATGGTGTGGATTACATATACAGGTGTAAGGTTTAAGGTTAGCGACAGTGGTAACGAAGGAACTGAAGCATATAACTGTTCCATTTTTAAGTAGGTCACTACAGATAGGATCTTTTACAATAATCTCTAATTTCCGTCGAATTAACTTGGCTAGCTTTATTTCAACAGATAGGCGTCCTAACTAATGGTTTGTAATTAAATGATCACCTTATACCAACATTAAATAAAAATTGTCTAATCGGGAAAAACTTTGACATACGTAATAACAGGAAACTCGTTTAGGAACAATTGTTTGAAAGCGACATCATTGACAAATAACCCTGTTCAATATTTATATATATAATTATATATAATTCGTTGATTTAGAACAAAAGATTGTCAGTTACTATTATGAAAATTATTTCAATATATATAATGAATACAAAAACACCAATGTATTTATACTTAGTATCTGAAAATAAGGAAGTATTTAGGCGAAATAATACAATAAGACTGAAAGAGAGAAAAAATCCCCATTTTAATGGTAATATATATTCTTTTGTTTTAAACCAAATTTAATCATATGAGGTTGCATAGTTATGACCTTGTCAGACAGAAAAACACAATTGGCATATACGATTACCAATAGCAGACCATACTTCCTTGATAACTTGTTTCTAACTGCAGGAACATTCAAATATCATAAATCAAATGATTTAAAACTATTATTTTTACCTACCTATTTACCTCTCTAAGTTTCCTTTACTTTATTGTACTAAGATGGTGGAAATCTCTTGTATTTCCTACAATTTTATCATTGGTGACTATATCTTTGGTATTGCAATATAAAGTCTTCAGTTTCTTCTATCAAAGTACAACATTCACATTCATCGTTTATACTATAGCAGATGTGTTTATTTGAAATTATTTCTTTTTTCAAGTTTTCCTAAAAATGTATGATTCTCTTATACCTGTAATTCGATGATATGATAATCGATTTTGATTATATTTTGGTTCTTCCGATTATAGTTACAAATGTCATATGTTTTCTGAAAAACTGTTCTAATTTTCAAGCGCATTTTCAACTAGAGGGGGTAATAGTTGTAATAAATAAAATGGCTATGAATTATGTTTTGTTAGTGTTATTTCTTTGCATGCTTAAACTAGTTTTTGAATATTCTTTCTGTCAAAGAACACTCACCAGGTTTCTTGTAGTAAAAGGTAGACACTGTCAAACCGATTAAAACTCTGGTGATGTTATTTAATTATTTTTCAAATATCTTTCTGATACAGAGTTCAGGCATCACATATTCTAGACGTGGGACTCAATGTGATAAATACATCTTTATATCATTGAGCTTACTTCTTTGAAATTGTTTCGAAGTTTATGAAGAAATAATTGTTGAAACCTGTTCGTGCCATGGTGATAAAAAAAAATAATAAAATACACATGTCGAAATTTAATTGAGGATGACCTCTATCACAAAGCAAAAAACAATATCCGGTATATCTCAGAACCTCAACTTTTGGATTTTCGTATCGTCCGGCTCCTGTCGGTAAAGGTATCTATAGAGTAAATGATATTATTTATTCAAATAAATAAAACATTATGCTTCTTTCCCTTTCTAATGTCATGGGTTAATAAATGAAATAGCCAATCAAATTTCAGTATACCTCCTACAAAGATTCATGTTCATGACTTCCGCGTTTTGAAATTATTATGGCATTTATCAATCACTGCACAGACCGCGATGGAGGCAACATGGATTGCTCATGTAGCTATAATGTTTGCTGTTTGTAATTCATTGGTTTGTAAGTAAGATTTTCTTTATTATTTAGATTCAATATATCTTTAGAATGATACCAGTTACGAATTTGAATGGTTTGGTTTTGGAACCCTAGAACGATGTAAGTCAAAAAAGTCAGAATCCTTTTATTTAGTCAATGGTCATAATAACATGACAACAGACATTGCAAAAGAACTATACTATTTTAACACAGGTGGGTTAAACCAAAATGATAAGTACTATAATAATAAAGAATCCTCGCCAAAAGCGTTCCAGTTACTGTGAAATAAATTATACTTGTACTGAATATTAATAACATATGGCACAAGAATGACAGAACAATTTGACGGGGATATCAGTGAAAAAAAGCTTTGACACTTTTTCCATTCACAAACATAAATATCTTTTAAAGACTGTAATTGATTGTATTCGTTTTTACAACAAGCACAAGTAATCTTAGAGATATGAAAAAAAAGACAAAACGAAAACAAGTGGTAATGTAATAGCGTAGTAAAATATGTCATTGATATTAACAATATTATAGACGACCTTTTAATCATATTTTATGTCATTGACTGGCAATTAAGTTAGGAGAATTGAGTCACAGGTAATTCGTGTCGAAAAGAGTAACATGGCTGGCAAAAATTAATGCTGGGAGAATTAGATCCAGGGGAAAGCATGATGAAATAAGGTATGCCATTGTCGTATGAAAGAAACGTTACATCGAGGGAAAGGGAGTAACTTAATAATATGACAGGTAGTTAACATGCGCAAAAACAACGATAATCTAATATGTTCCGTAAATAACAGTTTTAGTATTTTACGACTAGCTTTACGCTTTTAGTGTTTCAAAATGTGTAGTGTTAAGTTGTTAATTATTCTTGATGACATTTGGATTCTTATAATAACAGAATATTACTCTGGAATCATTTGTTTCCTTAATTTCTAAACAATTTACACAACATAATTGCATGTTATTCATCACTAAGTGTTTGACATTCTGTACAAATTATTTCATTAAATGAAGTCTTATTATAACGGAGTATTTCTACAGGCAGTCAATGATTTGATGACGCAGTTTCAGGGGTAAGTTGTTTGAAAAATGGTAAGGCTTTATTCGTGTTAGTGCTGCTGTTTGAAAAAATAATACAGTTTAACAAACAAATCAAAATCATTTAAACATTTTTGAAACTCATGCGCCGTTTTAGCTAGTATGATGGTGTCGACTGCAAACAAGAGACCCAAAATAGTTATATTAAAGGTAAAGGACAACAATAACAAAAATTCAAAACAAAGAAAAAAAGAAAGAAAAAGGAAAATCAATAAAAAATAAATACACATCAAAGGAAAGACACTTACTAGAATACTTTAATTTTACTTTGGAAGTTTAAGTAAACCGATTGAGCTATGTGGTCAAATGGTCAACATTCATTATTTTTAGGATATATTATAGAAAATGTAGATAGGTAGCTGTATCTTATTATCACTTTATCTTTATTGAAATTTTTATCACTGAAATACTATGACGTTATTATCAGAACATACTTGGAAACATCAACCCTTTGGACATAACCTTCACGAATACCATACTGATCTTGACATTGTTTAGACTGTTTCACAGTAGTTTCATTTCAATTCTTTTGCTCAAACAAGAAAGCTTTACATCTAAATAAGTGAAGAAATAATTGTGTTGAATTGTTAAGTTAGGAGTTGAACGATAAGACAATACAAACCTGCACAAGCTTCTTATGAATCCATAAGTTCTACAGATGTCTTAAATATACGCACTGCGTGTTTAACAACTCTGACATGCTGTCGAACGAATTTACGAAACTCTCCCTCCATGGTCTACCTAGAGTGCATATAATTACCTTTAATCGTTAGTAGTTCGTACGTTGTAGGAGTCTTTTTTATCTTTGAAGATATGTCAGCGCGACATCATTATTGTGTGTGTATGTTTGTGGTGATTTTGTTTGATTTAATATTTTTACTATTGAAAACTGTTCAGTCAGTCTTAGGATATTATGCCTGCTTTATTAATCTGTCTTTTGACGCATTGTCTGTGATGTGAAGGCTTCGTAACCTCTTATCCACCTTTTAACATTAGTTTTATTTAGTTCTGCCCATTGTTTTATCGTTTAATTTGGGACAATACGCCGCTTTTCATGGCATGACACGAACATGCCACGATGAATGTTCCATGAAAGCCGCTGTATGAATACACCTGCAAATAATATTGCAATGACCTCTTCCGTAAAATGCGTTTATTGAAACAATGCAGAAGCTGAAACAACCCCAAGTGGCAGCGATTTACCCTATGTAAACAAGAAAATTGTTATACTCCCTACAATAATTGGATTTGGAGAAGCAACCTTAGATTATTTTAGATGACATAATTCCGGCACAAATCTTTAAAATATTTTAATTGTTCAATGTTGTATAAATATTTTTTGTATCATAGTTTGGGGACCTTTCTGTTGAAAAAGTGTCAGAGTTAAATCGTATACATATACATGCACAGTGCGGTAACTGGAGTGCAGGTATCAGTTACCCGCACTCCAGAATGATAATGCCCGGTGATTGGTTCATTTTTGCTGAGGTTTACTTATTATGACGGCAGAGAAAGGGAAAGGGGCAGAAATATCATATTCAAATGCTCGTTCATTGGTTCATTTTTTCTGGGGTTTCATATTATGACAACAGGGAACGTGCTGTCATGTTTGACTATGATACAAAAGAGAAAGAACACCAAAACACTCGGCAATCTGATTTATACTCGGGGGCTACGCCCCCTCGTACAAATCAGATAGCCTCGTGTTTCGGTGCTCTTTTTATTACTTATGGCACCGGATATCTAAGATGCATCGGTACTAGTAATTATAACACTGCTCTGATCTGCGCCAAGGACGAAACCAAAGTGACTTTTTTTTGCGCAGCGCTTGCTGTATTTATACTAATGAGTGAACCATCTCCGCAGTGAATGAAAACAATGATTTTGATAAATAAATAAAAATAAAACGTTTCTTGATACTGATTCTAACAAAATCTTATAAGCGTCTGTTACTTAAAGTTATTTCTCTTATGAACTACTGTGAACAACAGATAAACAATTTCAACTATAAACACTTTGAAGGATACCATAAAGTTATACTGATTTTAACGTAAAGATGATTAAAATACCTACTCTTTGTTACAAATACATGATTATATTTTTCCAATACAAATGGCGAACTTATAAAAGGGGAGGTAATAAAGTTACCCATCAAGTACGTTTCCGTCACACTGTCTTGGTATTCCTGCAAGAACCTATTCCTGCAAGAACCTATCAGAGGCATGTACATCTAACTTTCATAGAAGTTACACAATTATATCTTCATGTACATCTTCTTCTTAAAACCTAGTATTTCATGCTGGTAGATTCAACTAGATCGCTAACCCAACATGAAATCCTAGTTTTCAAAAAGGAGTAATTTTACACTGTTCTATCTCTCTTTGTGTATAGTGACAAAAACACCATGATTGTAATATAAAACAGTAAAAGGTGTTTTCACTATAGATGGCAGTTGTATTGAGCCCGTTACACAGTTATCCGACATGCCTCTCCGACAACCTAGCAGGCATTGGGGAGAAGAAGGAAATCTTGGTATCAGCGATGATGATTTAAACTATGATTGGTACAGTGTTGTATATAATGGATGGCAATTTATTATGGTTGACTCAACTGAAAAACCAAATTATACAGACTGTTCAACATACTATCCAGTTTACTTGAAAGGTAATTGTCATATTAAATAGAAATAGTATACAATAGTTTCATTATCTTAATTGTGGAAATTATTAATCCATTAATCATAAGGATATTAACCGAAAAATGTTTTGTTAAATTATTTTATTAGATTTATTATCACTTATGGTAAAAATTATTATCATAAGAGCAAAGTAACGTTATTAATGTGAAAATGATCTGATTGCTTTTTATAAACCTTGAACCAGTTTCTAGGGCCATTGGTATGTTATGATAAGCAGCTTGCTTAATTTGATTATTGTAAAAAGAAAGATCCATTGTATGTTTATGATTAATGATTGAGATTCTAAAGTAATTATACCGCTGTGGTTCTCTTTTTACCTGCTGCAGATACACATCCATCGCTAAGAAGTTTGAGTACAACACCAACAAATGTTATTGCCTGCTTGCGTGATTACTTGTTCCCATGTGATATACAATATGAAGTGAAGATAAGAAGATGTGAAAATGAAATCCAGTATTTCCTGCCTGAAACCAAGGGATACAGTGCATTCTGCTTTAGTAAAAAAGCTATATTGTTTAATTAGAACTAAAATAAACATGTTATAACTTATAGTAAAAAACTATATTGTTTAATTAAGAACTAAAATAAACATGTCATAACTTATAGTAAAAAAACTATATTGTTTAATTAGAACTAAAATAAACATGTCATAACTTATAGTAAAAAAAGCTATATTGTTTAATTAGGAACTAAAATAAACATGTCATAACTTATAGTAAAAAAGCTATATTGTTTAATTAGGAACTAAAATAAACATGTCATAACTTATAGTAAAAAAGCTACATTGTTTAATTAGAACTAAAACACCATAATGAATTGTACATGTTTTTTTCTCTTTACAGGAAATCATTCTAAACTAACCTTCCCACCTGATATATCAGATGCTGTCCTAGGAGATATAGGCATTGCACCGGAGCTCAAATTCACAGAAACAACAGTACCTTACGGAGATACAGAAACAATTAACTTTAACCCATTCTTTCAATTCAGATGTTTCTTCAATTTACAAGAGGATTTCTATTACAAAGTTAACTGGTATCTTTTAAAATTGTTAGCTAAAGTTATGATCAATTATCAAAAAGGCAAGCCAAAATAATATTCATTTCTGTATATTAACAGTAGCATTACATCGGCACCTTATGGTTATTCTTTCTAAAAAGTCCTTTCGAATATTTAGCTTGATATATCTGAAGGTTAGCAATTATTTACACTGTTGATCTGAGATGCTGTAAGTAGATGTTGATGTTTTGCATATAGATAGGCAGTATTAACGGGAACATCATTAAGATAGTCTCCCTTTCTTGCCGACCATTAGATACTAAGTGTACTAGTGTACTTGTACCATAGTTGCGTAAATTTTGAATTAAGTTTGTATTTTGTACCTACAGTTACATTATAAAACGGGATAATGAACTAGGTTAGAGAGTCGTATCAGCTATCTAACATATCTTAAATATAAATAGAAATTAACAGTATTAAAGATGTCATGGCGGGAAAGCGATGTAACCTGTAAGTGTAGTTCTTCGAAAACCTCGATACAGATCCGTTTAATATCAAAGGGTTTTATTTTTCAAATTAAGTGCATAAATCCTACAATGAATGAAGTTTATGTTTTCTAGAAAACTACGGTTTTCAGAATACTTTTTCATAATTGAGGACAACTACTGTAAAGTATTAATTGATGATTTATAAATGTCATAAAACCTTAATTTATTACTGAGCTTCTAATAAGTATGACTTTTTGAAATTGTCAAAAGTTTACAAAAAGTATAATTATAGCTATTTGCATCATAATCATAGCATTTATAATATTAACTTCCATAAAAGGTACATAAACGGGTCACTTATTGTTTCGTACGGACCGACATTAAATGCCGATGACCTACTGTTTCACGAAGACGTGCTTATGAATAACTCAATAGAAATGGGCTTTTATGTAAGTATTTATTAATCATTATTATCATTAAAATGTATTGATGTTATTGCATAATTTGGTACATACTGTTAACTGCGCATACCATATTATGGATTCATTGTTGTTAATCATTTTAAGTACTTAGAAGTCTCAGATGTTTTCTTTGACAAATGAGAAAAAGTATGAAGTATCTTAATATGATTCAGTTCATGCTTTAAAACCTTAGTGCAAAGTGTTAATGTCTCATATTTGAAAAGATCAAGCTTTTATGTTAAGAGAGCATACATGCCCTTTTGTGGTATTCCTCGTTGGCATTTTACAAGTTTTTCAAAAATGACATCTTGTATATATTCTTGTCACTTAAGATTTATTGTGGCGTGAGTGCTCTTACATCTGATTCTGTTGATGCCGGGGTAACAGAAATGTTGTACAGTACAAGCTATTATGCAGGCATAAAAGTAAGTGAATATTTTCTAATAAATGAAAAGATATCAGTGAATATTAATATTTATTATGGAAAGGATATTATTTTGTTATTTGATAAAAAGTAACAGACCTTTGGCTTTTTAGACTATATGTCAGAAATTAATTGTTATAATTGTTTTTGGTAGACAGTTTTATAACGTTTACTAGGAAAATAAAATAAATACCCAAGAGCTATAAAAAAGCACAAAAAAAACAACAAAAAAAAAAACAGTGCAATGGAAAATACCTTTGACAACAAAATGACGTAATTCAATAAGATGATTCCTTTAAGCCACACACATCCAGATATTAAAACTAAACATTCATGTAACCGGTGTGTGTGAGATAGTCATGTGTCATAACAATGGTTGTAATATATGTAATAATTGTCTAAACTGCCTTAATAATAGAATTGTTTCAAAACGATGAAAGTACGGTGTTCCGTTTGGACAATCGTGATTTTTTAGTTAGTCTGTACCCGTGATGCACGATGGAATGATGGTGAAACGCGATGGTACAATGGTACAATGGAGAAAACAATGTTATGATGATGAAATCGCGATGGTTTTATTGCGATTACATCGCGTTTTCACCATCGTAACATCGCGTTGTCACAATAGTACCATCACGTTTTTACTATCGTGCCATCGCTTCACCATCGTGCCATAGCGTTTATATCATCGTACCATCGCGCTTTCACCATCATACCATCGCGTTTTCATCATCTTGCCATCGCGTTTTCACTACCGTACCATCGTGTTTTCACCATCGTGCCATCGCGCCATCGTATCATCGCCTTTTGGTCAGTTTAACCAGGACATGTACAGAAAGATGTCAGATTCGTATACGGCAGATAGTAAAATCAAGTTTAGAATACTTACTATGTAATTTGACTTATAAATAATAAAACCTATTATCTCCACATTACATTTTCGATTTATGTCGTTTTACAGTATATAGAGCAAAGACTATTTAATGTATGCTTATATATGCTTAATATATGTTTGCTGTATTTAAGATATCAACTTGAATGTGAATGTACCGTGCACAAGGATGACAACTATATTGTTTTAGATTTTTGAGCGATTGCCTTTTGTTATGTTTCATGTTTCAAATACTAAGATCTATAAGATACGCAAATAGAAATGGTGCGGGGTTAAATAATGAAAAGGTATACATTGTTGATAAAAAATATACCATTGCGCACGAACACCATAAGACGATGGCACGATGATGAAATCGCTATGGTACGATGGTGAAAACACCATGGCATGATGGTGAGAACGCGATGGTACGATGGTTAAAACACGATGGCACGATGGTGAAAACGCTATGGAACGATGATGAGAAAACGATGATGCGATGGTACGATGGTGAAAACACGATGGTGCGATGGTACTATTGTGAAAACGCGATGGTACATTGGTGAAAACACGATGTTTTCACAATCGTCAAATCGTGCATCGCAGGTAAGGACGAAATAAAAAAATCACGATTGTCCAAACGGAAAACCGTAAAACTTAGAATCCTTGCTAAAATGAGGATGTACAGTTGGAAGAAAATAAACACTTTTCTGTACCAAATATGTTTAAAGTTTTACCTCTTTAAGTGCTCTTTTTTATCGTTGAGTTTTTGTCAAAGATGCTCAGTATGGAGAATTTATTTTTAAACTACGAAAGGTATGAACATAAAACTTTGAATGACACTTTTGTACGAGGGGCATTGGGCGCCCAGGGGCGAGTGCTTTAGTTCGTTTCGATTTGCCCCACACCGCAGTGTTTCATGTCAGGAAGCTAGCATACGGAAAGTCGGTGGTTCTACTCGGGTACCAGTTCGTGCCTGAAAAGCACATGAGGTCCTTCTCAAGTAAAGCTGGAAAGTTGTCATTTAACATATACTGCGTCGGTGCGACGAAAAACCAAATCAAACAAACATACAAACAAACAAACGAGGGACATATTTTAATTAGTGACAACAACAAAATTTAACCATAATTTGCACGTAAAAGTACTTGTATTATATAACGTTCGAAATATTATTGATTTTCCTAACCAGCATTCTATTTTCCACTATTTGCGCGTGCAATAACATTGATGAAGGTCATTTTAATACATGTGTTTTTGTAAACTGGTTGTTAAGCGGCATTGTCATTGGAGGGAGATGCAAAGTTCATGGGTCATTGCGGAAATACGCGTCAGAAATAAAAACGAATTTAGATTAAGTTTATGGAAAAATGCTCTTCCATATCGTACACGTGCCAGAAGGGTGTTAATTAATGTTTACGGAAAGTTAACTAATGTTAAGGATGATCCTCGCCCCGGGCGGCTATGAAAACATCAACAGCCATAGTTTATGAAGATGCAAGATATACCGTTGAGGAGGAAAGTGACATATCGGTCCTTAGTACGTTCCATCGTGGAAAAATAATTTAAGTTAAGGAAAGTGTGCGCCCGTGGGATCTCTCATTCAATAAATTTTGCCTTCGCGGCCGCCGGCTCGAAACCCATGTTGCCGTCGGAAGAACTCTCTAACGGTGTATAAACAGTATACCCAAAAACAAGTTCATAAACGCTTTTCGGAATGGATTTTGAGGCTGAAAAAGTGTGTAGAAGTCCATTGCGAATATTTTAAATGACTCTTCTAATCACTTTTCACAAGTATGACACATCTTTAAAAACGCGCTGCCGTTGCCACTAATTAAAATATGTTCCTCGTAAGACATAGAACATTATTCGGAAAGCAATATTTTTAAGTTTTATCCTTTTTTAACTTCAGTTGTTTATCATAAAAGGTTATTGACAGGCGTTGCTCGTAATATATTAGCATTTATGCTGCATGTGGTGCTTTTGTTTATACTTTTTACTAAGTCTAGTTGCTCATTATACCAAGTACATGTTTGCCTTCGTATCGTATATACATTATACATATTGTTACCACTGTAGAAGCCAATTGTTTGTATTTAGCTAAACATTTATATGCGAGTACATGAGGAAGGAAATAAAGAAAACTTCCAATTTCAATCTTTTATGTTTAGATAGACAAATAAGTAAACTAGATTTTGATTACTTGGCAACAATTTCTCCCTCCCGTGAGCAACAGGGAGTGGGTTTTTTTACAGATAGAACATCATTACTTTTTGCAACGAAACTTGTACATATATCATATTGTTTGGCAATATTGGCCTGAGACAGGGTTTTTTCTTTGAGTTTCCGTCATTTTACCATTAACACATTCGTTTTAATGTAAGTATAGTTATCGATTCATTTTCCAAAGTTACGCCGGATGGTCTTGTGGTAAAAGCAATTGAATAGAAATCGCGTACTTGCAAGTTCGAATCCTCGACAACGATTTCTTTTAGGATAATTCAAAGGCGTAAATAACCCCCCGAAATGCTATCATTTATATATCTCAAAAACGTTTTATTGTTGATGTCTTATTAAGTTTCCAAATAGTTACTCATTCGTCATGAAGATAAACTTTTTTGACAATTTGTATGATATAACATTACGTTCGTTTTGCATGGAGATAAGAAACAACAACTTTATTTACATTTTATCATACCATGATAACAGCGAGATATGATATAATTCGCTATCATACAGGTATCAAGTACAACCATCAACATTAATAAAGGTGACACAGAGGTTCTTCAAATGACATCAACCATGCCAATAGGCTGCAGATATAATGTTCAACCTAACGAGTCATGTGTTGTAAACTTTCAAATATTTAATAGTAACGACAGTAGATTTCAGTGTAATGTTGCTGGTATAGCTAATATAGCTAATATAGACGAGCCGTTAAACCAACGATGCTCAAATGGTTTTCAGGTAAACTATAAACTTGCATTTAAAATACATTTAAACATATTTCTCTCGATAGATTTCGTAAATATTACTAAGAAATAAATTCATTTATGAAAATGATTGATATTGCTTGCTTTTAAAAATTGTTCCGCAGTAATTACCATTTGATAAAACAATTGATAATACTGCACGTTTCTAAAGTCGCTTTTCATTGAATAATCGTAAAAGTTTATACTGTCAATTTATGAAGAATTAATTTAAAAAAAAATATGCAATTGTATTATAAATTCGTTATAACTATTTCTGACAGGATATATGACTGTATATAACGGCTGTTTGCAATATAACCCTCGCCTAGCGGCTTTGCTTTGGTTAAATTTCAAACAACCGTTAACAAAGGGCCACATAACCTGTCAGAATCTTTATGTATGGGTAAGAGTTCGTATTAAGACGACCGTAGGGAGTCTTATCGGACTCTTACCCATATAACTGCAAATCGGCTCTTACAACTCGATATCAGATAAAAATATAGAAAGTGTCACCTCTTTAATTAAGCATAACATTATTTTTCCCCAGCAGTCACGTAAAAACAAGGATGGGGTCCAATTACTTAATCTGGCATGTAAAACAATGAGTTTTCAATAATACCTAGTATTTTTTATGCAATTCATTCCTGTCATATGAAACAAAATAATGTTTTGCTTACTTTTTCTAGAAAATATAAAACAGTCAGCAATTAATAATTGACATTTTTCATAGAGTTTAAAGGATATCAAAAAGTTACTGTGTTCACATTTGTCTCTGCGAACTGAGCTCCACGTGCATTATCTATGTAATAAATTTGAATGTATCCTCACATTGCTACAGTGTTATCAGCCTTTTTAGAAACACCTGACCTGGCTATTTAGAATATGCCAATCACAATTTTCAATATCAGCACTGGTTTCTTCATGAAATAGCGGCTACACTAATTACTGCCGAGTAAGAGCCGATTTGCAGTTATAACAAGTAATATTTATGCAGCTTAAAATGTTTTTAGATATTGTTTTTACTTCAGACGCTGAAAAAAGAATCGGTATGGAATCCTGATACAGTGTTTAATTTTTCCATAATTACGACGGACATGAATTATGATGATGAACGACTTTATTACCTGTTGTTACAGTTTCCTAATACCATGGGTCATCGAATTTGGCGGAATTATAATTTTCCGGTGATTAAGGTACACATAATAGTGTATGAGATTTATTTTACATATGAATTGTTAAGATATTGCATACTTATAACTGTTTTGAAATACTAATATTTATTGTTATTTTTTAATACTTTTCACATGACCCATTTTTATTCTTCAATAACTTTTGTTTTGTTCCATACAAGTTTTTATTTCAATTTTGTTCTGCTGTTTTTTGGCGGCCGTGCTCTCACCTTTGCAACATTCATGCTTCAATTTTGTACTTGTAATTATATTGTTATTGATATTTTGTATTTAAAGGTTATCGTATCTGACAAAGGAGAATACAGAAATAAGATATGTTATTCTCACATAGATCCACATATGAGATCAGCCGACGGCGTGTAAGTTTTTGCATCATTATAACTATACGTTAAGTATGTAATGCTAAATTAAAGCTGGTATAATTGGCAATATAATTTTGAGTGTAAGGAGTTTTTATTGAATCTATTGGATCCATTGCAACCATATCGGTATATAGAATTGCAATTGACTTGACTACTAAAACACACGCCTTGTCAAATAGATAAAATTAATTTCGCCAAAATGAAAAATAAAAAATACGACACATTCTTTTGTAAACAAAATAGTCTTTACTCCTATTTTCTTTTTCAAATTCAAGCTATTTATATTGACCAAAACATACAGTGGTCATGTTTTGCAATACAACAACAACAAAAAAACCCACAAAAAACAACAACAAAACAACAACAAAAAAACGAACCAATAAACAAGCCTTAATTTCGCCCGTAGCACCTCTCGATTAGGCTTGATGGTTCATTTTCTTTATTGTCTTAAACAGAATTAAGGGCTTTTCATCACATGTGGCAAAACTGTAAACATAATCTTTTCGCAAGTGTCTTCATCAACAATAGTTTTAAAGTCAACATAAAGTCTTCAAATGATTTTTTCTGAATTCACAGTTATTACGAGCAACAACGAAAGAATGGCCAGCTCTTTCCGGGTGTATTCTTGTTATATAATAATACGGAGTATGGAATCGAGGTATGGTATGTCTGATCAGTATTGCTGAATAAAAAATTAAAACGTTACTTTTATTAGACATTAACTGTCATATAAGACGACATAGTATTTTAAATGACAATCTCTACTCTTTGTGTTATGTATATAAATCATTATTGTATCATGTATTATGTGTAATTGGTATAAGAAAAGTATTTACACCATCATACATTACAAATACATGTATTGTTTAACAATATTGACCTGAGACTGATTAATTTTCGAGAGCTTTTTTGTTATTTTTCGTCATTTGTTTCTATTTACAAACCGGGATTTCATGATACATGTAGTCAAGTCCTCGATACTGCGGCCAGATGGTCTAGGGTTTTAGTACCTCGGAGTTTTAATCGGGTAGTTGCAAGTTCGCCTTCACAAGATTTTTTTTTTCATTTCTTAAACTGATTTTCTTTTTTTTATCAGCAACATAAGTTGATATATCATGTGTTTGTTTTTTAAATTCATGACTTTAAAATATACCAACTTTTTTCCATTTCATAAACTTTTTAATGCAAAGTCGTACAAAGAGTAATTCGCATTCATAACACACAGAGGACACGTTTTGCAAAAATATGATAAAAGAAGATATTAAAAATAATGTTCATCACCATTCGAACCTTCAACCTTTGAAACTAAAAGTCGTACACCTTGCCACTGTAGCTAGTATGGCAAGTATTATGCTGGTAGTTTTAAGTTATATACTTAACGAAACTTATAAGTACTCCGACAATTTTTTTATTATATTGTGTTAGAATAACTATAACTAGTCTAAGTCGGTACTGTATAAAATTTAATCATTGTATCATCATTTTATAATAGTAAATGCATTTTACAATAACTCAAACTTAACAGAAAATCAGTAACTGAGATCACCATTGTAAAAAAATCAAATACATGTATTTTGAAAACCGGACTTTTCCTGCAAGTTTGAAATCGGAGTACTTATAAGTTTCGTTAAGTGTATATATATATTATACCGTCGTGCCTATATTAAAATTCATATGGTTTACTTGGGAATCCGATTATCACAAACAAACTGATATTGACTATTTAAATGTCTCAGGTCAATATTGCCGAAGAATAATATAGTATGAATATCATGAATATAATCATTATCATGACTTTTGTTAAGTCACCTATCTTTGTCGCATTTTATGTCGTAACAAGAGTCAGCTCATGATTGGCATTCTCGACATTATTGAACAGTTTATAATAATTTTCGCGATGGCTACAACGTCAACTTGCCAATGTTATAAATATATGAATGAACATTTCTTTCAGGAAAACCACTGTAATGCCTATGGATATTTCTAGGTTTAATTCTTTGTCTAATAAATGTGTTCACATGTTTAAGTGAGAATCTTATTATGTAGTATTAAATATTTATTAGCAGTGTTGCTGCAAATTATATGGTTGCGGTCAGTATCAGTGAGTTAGTTCCGTAATATATGCAGCAAAACAGACAATTAAGAGAAGATACATGTTGTGCGCAAAGTGTCGTATCAAATAAATGATAATCAATAATTTTGTCCGTATTCGTAATCAAACATTCATCTCGAAAATGTGATTTTCCTCGGAGAATATTATGCCCTGCATGGAGACTCATCTCCATGTAGGGGAAGCCGACCAACTTTTTTTCCGCAGATAGTCTTCAAACACGATTACCCCCACCCCCACTCCCTTTAAAAGTAATTCTATAATGATCACAGTACTGATATGTTCTTCTTTAAAATTTAGGTATCCAAGTGAATATTGCTTATAGGCGATTAAAAATAGTCCATGTATTTCAGACCACAATGTAGTGTTTGCTTCTAAAGACAAAGAAGTCGCCGAATGCACAGAAAAATATGATATATTAAGGATTTAATCATACACATATAAGATCTACATTATCGATGAGGCGGGTTATGATAATTTCTCATTGGGTTAAGCATAAAGCATTTCTCTGATAACTTTTTTAAGGTTCAAGAGCAAACTAAGATCTGTAACCGTGGATGGGCAACGTGTGCCTGCGGGGTTGCTATTCGAGCCGGTAAAGATGTTTTTATGATAAATAGATGTGGAAGCATCAGCTACCTTGGCTTTACAAAATGCGAAGACGGGGGGATTTTACAAGTTGTAAGGATTAACGATTACAGGTACAATGTAAGTAATATTAAGTATTCTTTCAAATTATTAACAATTAAATGAGAAAATTAATAACGAAACTTTTTTAAAAATATTTTCAAATCTTAATTTGTATATCGTTGCCTCAGGTTGACTTCACCCCCGCCCCTTCTAAAAGCCCACTTTTATCAGTCATGATCGACAATATCAGTTAAATGTTAAAGTTATTCTTCTATACTCTGTTAATTTTAATTTCGTATGTAGGTCTTTCCATCTTATATATGTCTTCTAAACGTACGTAGTGGCGATTTTGGGTACACAATGAAACACGTGCATTGATTTAACTTAAAGGAAAATAAAGTTAAGCCCCCCCCCCACCCACACACACACACTCACACAGACAAAAAAACACTAGTCCTCCTTAGCGTTTTATGTTGGAAATATGAAACAATTTCCCCTTCTATTCTTTTCGCCAATCTGTGACAAATAGACTTGAAATCAGCAAATAGTTGATCTGCGAAACTTAAATCAACATTGCTTTATTGTTTTCAAAATAAACTTGTAGTTCAAGATCCTGTTACCCAAATATTTTTATGGTTTTATATCATAAATCTGATGCACAAATGAAGATCTACTTATATTGTACATTTCAAAAAGAATTATTTGAAAAGATTGTCAGGAGAAATGTCTGCCTTGATGTTATTTAATCTAAAAAAAGATTTAGTAATAAATACTAGACCCAATCTAAGATATGAAGGCTGGGCAGCACCGCCTGACATAAAAGTGAAATATTCTCAGTTGGAAAACTAGCACGTAATTGTTTAGTTAACACTGTCTTTTTTAGGTATTTTTATCCTTTTCTATCTCAAATCAATATATACATGTAAACAACAAACTCTGATTATTATTTACACCCAAAACAAAGAACTCTGATCATTATTTACACCCAAAACAAACACACATCATTTATCAACCACTTATACGTATTATCTTTTCACGTATACGTCTTTTATACGAAACAATACTAGACACCTGGCGAGCCCAAGCTCTAAACAACTTATGACCAAACAAAACAATAAAATCACCACAAAATGAAGAACACAAAAAATGAATATTTTTACAACTCTAAGATACAGTATAAACCACAAACATTCATCCAACAATATTAACTTCACACAATCTAATCAGCATCAGAAAACAACTTAAACTAAAGCACCCAATATTTACATATATCCTCAAAACAAAGCAGCAACTAATATAATCTTGACCAAACAAACATTCAACCAATATCAACCAATTATATCGTCACAAACAGATATAACTCAACAACCAAAAACAACTAATTACAACCAATAAACCCTGATCAATTAAGATCACGACAATTATATTCAACCACTTCAACAAACCAACAAAACTCCCTACTAAACAACAAACATTATCTTCTCAATAAATAAATAACCCGCTACACATACAACGTGTCCTCCTAACTGATGTAAAATCTCTCTCTAAACGCGCATATTTGCTAGCATAAACGATCTGACATTTTAAACATGTAGATACATTTTTCACTCCCAGCAATAGGTTTATGAATAAAACTGTACATTGAAAGATGATACACTTCAGTGTATCGCTGACTCGTTGTAAAAAACTGTATGATTATTCTGACAAAGATATTGAGAGATGTACGGAGATTTTGCTCTCATTTGTTTTTTTCTTGATGACGGACCTGTCAAAACATATCAAAATGAATACCCTATGTCATATTAACAAAATGGCTTACGGGAGTATCGATGCCAGATCTGTTGGAATCTTAGTTTAGGTCAATTTAGGAACTCTATTAATAGAATTAAATAAGATGAAGGCACGTTTAACTTTAAAGTGTTCTAATTAACGGAGCAAAATTTTACAGTGAACGAAATCTACGTGTAGAAAAGGTATATCCCTCGACAGCAACGAAAACAAAACCAGAAAGGTGAAAATTGAAGAATAAGTTCAAGACGTTAAGAAAGCGGTCTCTTAAACTAGAATTATATTTATACATATATATTTTCTATGAACATTGTTTATGTATCTTTTATATTATATTTAGAAAGGAAAGTGCGTTTTATTTAAATCATATTGTTTGTAAAAGGTATTTGCTGGCTTCAAATGCTATTATGATACCTGTTGTATATAAGATCTGATGAAATCGAAACAACGAAATAAGTGTTTTTTATTTGACAAGATAAGCCAGTATTCTTCTAAAGAAATTCGGGAAACTTGAGATACCTTTGAAATAAGCCTCTGCATTATTATGACTTCCTGACACATGTATTTTGGATAAGGCACCAGATGCAGGAAAGTTAAAAATGGTTAGGATTGAGGTTTTGTAAACATTTTGAGTTAAAATAATTATTGCGCAAAGTTTGTATTATGTTTTTTTAAATGTTATCATTAATGTTAAATCCCCTTTTTGTTTCGCTTGCTACATATAGGGATCACTTCTTCATCGTCTGTATATCTGTCCTTAACAAAATTTGTCCGGCTTCAACTACTGGTGTGATTACATCCATACTTTACAAGAATGATCAGTACTAAGTCTAGTTTAGCATATTATCGGGTTTATTCGGTTCAATGGTTTTTCTCAAAGTGAAATTTACTTTTAAATCGTGTCCGGGCTTTTTCTCTTATACCAGTCTAATGAAATTTGAATGAAACTTTACAAGGTTGGTTAGTAGCTCAAAACCGTGTGCCTATTTTATGGTTTATTTGATTGAATGCTTAATGCTGAGTTATGGCCCTTGAATAAAATGTATTTTTGCATGTTGATCAATTTTACGATGCCAGCTACACAGAAGCTTGTCAGGACTACTACTCAGAAACTACTGGTGCTATTCCGTCAAAACTTTACAGGGATAATCAGTAGAAAAACTTGTTGCGCATATCGTCGGCAGTTTTCGACTTAACGACTTTTTGTTTAGTTATAGCCCATTTATGATTTTTATTTTAAAGCGTATCATAAATATAATCAGTATAGCCCAATATTGTAGTACAACAATACTCTTACACACATAGCTGTGAATATTCTCCAATCTTTATTTATAAACCTTTCTTTTATTCGTTTATGAAAACCGAATCCTAAAATGTCGTAAATGTGTTTTAATATGAAAGTTTTGACAATAACACTATGAATCGTATCATTTAACTTTTCACCGAAACGAGTCAAAAAAATGAAAGTTTATTCTTACTTGACTGTAGACGCCAAATAGAACGATTTACTTATACATGACTGTGTTGCCAGTTACACAGAAGCTTGTCCGGACTACTCCTCAGAAACTACTGATGCAATTTCATCCAAACTTTTATACAAAGCTGATTCATGCTACAAAGTAGCTACAACTAATTTGGATCACTGTTTTATGGTCTGTCCGTTTGTCTGTCCGCTTATCTGTCCGTCACAAAATTTATTCGGACTACTCCTTAGAAAATATTGGTACAATTCATCAAAACTTTACGGGATGATCAGTACCAAGTGTAGTTGTGTATATCGTAGGCATTTTCCGGCTAAATGAGTTTTGTAAGAGTGATGACTCTACAGTGATTTTTATGTATGTACAACTTCAATTCTAATTCTAATTCAATTTAAATGAAATTTAAAAAGTACTTGCTCATATTGAACGGATTTCCGGTTGACTTAACTTTGGCTGAGTTATGGCCCGTGAAAAACGTCTTTTAATGATTTTTATGTCTGCTGCATAATAGCTACAACATGCAATTAGCTATCATCAGGCGACTGATTGACCGCTCCTTTAGGTTGCCTTTGCGTAGTATCAACGTTTTAAAGGTCATACGGCGACTTTCTGTTTAAGACACGGACAGACACCTTTAGTAAACCGCCGACTTTCGGTGCCTATCTGGAATGCATCCTCTTATGATAGAACGGTATTCAATAGCGACAATTTTATGTTGTCCTGTTTCTGAAATAAGAGCATTTTAAGTCGAAGCTTAAGGCAAAAAATGTACCATACAGTTTGTTGGTATTTTAAGTTCAGGAGTCTATAGTCAGTTTTTTACTTCCGTTAAGTACCCATTACGCAAAACATTAAATTTATTTCGAACAGTCTCATCTTGTAACTAAAAGATATTTATATTATGCCTACGACATTATAGCGAGATGCATGTCTTTTGATATAGTTTTCAATTACCTCTTCCGCCCATAAACAACCACAGTCGTACCATATGCCAAAACAGCATAATTTGGCCGTTTTTGGCGTTCTTTAGGGATTGTGTTTTTTTCCAGACAATAGTCGTTATATAATGATATATCGTTAAGTATGATTTAGTATCTAGTGATTACGAGATAATTTTCCTGTTTAGATTTCATCTCTTTATACAATTGCCATTTATGATTTTAAATTTTCACACCCATTGGTACTAAAATAGCAATTACAGTTTCCAGAACGTTAGTCTTTTGCCTTACTTTATGACTGAGTAATGATGATTTACTATTTTGTAAGGAGGTCAAAATGCTGCATGTACTTATTTTTTACATATTGCTGCATTTATCACAAATTATTTTAAATTCAACACTAAATTTTCAGGTGATTAGCTTGTTTGGTGTTCTAATTTCATTATAAAAACACATTTCTGTAGTACTTTCTACAGAATGAAATAAATATTCATTTCTGAGGTTTAATGATTATTAGCGGACTTCCAAATTGAAATGTTATTGTTATAGGTGTTCACCCCCATTGGAACGAAAATAACAATAAGACTTTTTCATAATGAATACGGCGGACATTACGGTGGAACAATGAACATAGACATTACAATGGCACCTAAAGACTTGTATAACATTGAAGGATTGTGTGGACAGTTTGACAATAATCCTGCCAATGATTTCCGGCATAGAGACGGAACTATTTCAGAAATAAACTACACCAATAAAAATAGTCATTTTGCAGACTTTACAGAAAGCTGGAGGTAATTAGATGCTTATCTGATTCCATTTTATGAATAAATACGGCTATTTATCTGACGCTTTGTTAAAACCCAAGGGTTTCACTCTTGAATACCTTTTGAGAAAATCTTAACATAATGAAATTTACACTTCCAAGAAATTGAAATATATGAGTATTAGTTCAACATATTGTCCACCTATTTTCACTTTTTATCAGAGAATATGATTTAAGTAGTTTTATAAGAAGAATCATTATATCGTCTTAAACGTAGGTCATCATAGTCGACTGAACGGATAATGAATGCGTTAATTTGCACTCTTTCATACTATGTCTATTTACAGTTTAACATCAGATGAAACCAAGCACCTCAACTTATTTCTAACAGGAAATAGGATCCTTCAAAGTTGGGGTGATCTGAATGGGATGTTTTGTGTCTGTTCAAACGAAACAAAAGAAAAAGTTGCAGAAGCAACATGCTATCCGACCCAATATTTGAATTGTACAATGAGCAGATCAATTACTGGTACAAAATGTAACGTACAAAGCAGAAGAAAGAGAAGCGCCGATGGTTACTTTAAAGATGAGAAAGAATTAGACAGATTACTAAAGTTAATGGCTCCATCTCAAACAGTTACACCAGAAATAAAAACTAGGAACAAAGTAATTTTGTAGTTTGAAATATCTAAATAGGAGAAGGTATTTTCAATTTTATAGTAAAAATTTAAATACTAATTATATTGCTTAATAACGACAAGGAAGACTGAAACAATACTGTTTGCACTACTAATTTGTACGATTGTTCTATAATTAGTTAAGTCCATTTATCAACAATGGGCTCGTAGTCGTTCACCTGAAAGCTTAAAAACTGTATCGCTACTATCACCAAATATATCAAACCGGAACATCAAAGTTAATTTATAAAATAATGACCGGAGACCCTAATTACCTTAAAGTCTTCTTGCAACGTTTGTTTGTAAATACCGTGTTTGACATTTTTGAATAGTAGGCTTCCACTGAATTGTAACAATTTAATCATGTATTCGCGTATATGTTTATTAAGTTTATTTTGGCCTCTTAAAACGTTAGACAACGGGATATAGAATTATGTCGTTAGAATAGATGTTACAATGTAGTTTTACAATGTAATCCAGGAGTATAGACACCCTATCACAAAAACAAAACGGAACAAAACAGAGTTTATTTTTATAACTTACACATATGTACATCACTTAAACCAAATCATTGAAATACATTTTGTAAGTCACATAATGTACAATTAAGAACAACAAAAACAGCAACAACAATACAAAGTCAATACACTACAAAGCAATGAGTTTACACATACAATTAAATACTTTATATTTACTGAACCAAACACTCATGATAACCGCCATATGAACAAATCTGCAGATGTTTATGAATTCAAAATTTCACCATAGATAAAATATAAAGCTTTTGTGATATATTAATAAAGCATTTCTGGGGTACAATGAGTGCGCTTATTATTGATTAAAGCTTCAGGTTGTTGAGAAACCACACATTGTCCGAGTTATGTGATCAATATCAGAAGAAAACATTTCACATATTATACAAAGCATTTCACATTTTATACACACTAGATTTAAGTGTAGTTGTTTTCTCCATAATGCTTTTGCAAAGTAAAGTTGAATACATTTTGAAGACATTGGGTTTCTTTTTCAATTAAAAATTTAAAAGTTCATTTCATTTTAAGCCATTGTTTAAAACTACCCGTATTTTAAATGTAAAACATTGTAAGCAGAAAAATTGATTGATTGGGGTTTTAAAAACTTCATAGACATACATTTCTATCAGCGTCAAGACATCATTGATGACATGATTACGGAAGAAACAGCTCAAAAATTATGCGAAGCTAAAATTTCCGGTAGTCTAGCAGTGCAAGAATATACAGAAGTTAGTGGCAATGAAGATCCAGATGAAGTTATAAAACAATGTATATTTGATGTAGTGGTAAGTTTGTTTGTTTGTTTTGGTTTAACGGCATACTTACACCTAACAGCGCCAATCAGTATAATTTTAAACATTAGATTATTAATCCTAAACAAGTAAGTACATGTACAAAGATATAAAATGAATTAGGTCAATTTTCTAATACATGTTAATTTCTTTTAAGTCGATCAATGTTTTGGAAGGAAGAGAGTCAAAATGTTCTGAAAGTGAATTTACTCGGTAATATTTATAGATCATTCAAGGAGCATAATCTTCTGTTCAAATAGAGAAAAATAAAGAATCGCCAAAGATCGCACAAAACGATAAAATTGAAAATGTTGCAGACTCGGTCGATCGAGCCTGTTCATGGACGGTACTGAAAGGTTATTAACAGGTCAGTCTAAGAAAGGGTTGGTACATGTGTATTTCCACCTCTCTGCAAAATTACTCATTGAAAATAGTCCCTGTCAGCGTATTTTTGCCTTACAGTACCGTCCATGAACAGGCCTAATCAGACCGAGCCTGCAACATTTTCAATTTTGTCGTTTTTGGCTTTCTTTAGGAATTCTTATTTTCTCTATTTTATCGCTACATCAGCGTTGTTTGAGCCGTTTGGAAGCTGAAAAAGTCGCCCCGTACATTAAATCAGAGATGTACATGTATTTATTTCCGATCGTTAAAGATCGTTCAGCACGACATTATCGTTGTTCTTGTGGTATTCTTAGTTTTAATTTTTCGGCATTTTCTAGTTGAGTGGTTCCAATATTCCTACTTGAATAATGTTTATTCAGATCTGAGCGTTACACTACAGAATCACCCTTAGGATATGCTGCTTTTAACTTTATCTTTTGACATCTTATCTGTGATATGCAGGCTTCATAACCTCTGATCTCCTTTCAAAATTCCATTTTATTTAGTTCCGCCCATTGTTTTCTCGTTTAGGGCAAATGCTTTCTATTACTTTGGGGACCATACGCCGCTTTTCATGGAATGGCACGGAAGTGTCACATTGAAGGTTCCATGATAACGGCCGTATGAACACTTCTGCGCATGTTTCTAAATTAAGAATTTTCACCATTTCATGTTTAATTGTTGAATTCTGCTTAAGCCGGTGCTATGTGGCGTGGACGGTAGTTTTCACTTTCCAGTACCGTCCACGAACAGGCTCTATCAAACCGAGCCTGCATCATATTCAATTTTGTTGTTTTGGGCTTTCTTTAGGGATTCTTATTTTCTCTATTGTACGTAATAAGTAAAATAAATATGTAAATACTCGAGGCATAACTTCAAAGTGTTATAACGGAGAAAACAATATGCATTTAGGCATAGGTCCTTGTGACAACGGTAGTTGTCGACATTTTTGATATACGTTACTCAGTGAACAGTGTAAACAGCTTACTGCAGTGATAACCCCAGTAGTTTTATCATCGCAAGAAAGCATGACAAAAATGGTTTCTTTATACGAAAAACAGATAACGAAACGGGAAATGTGTAAGAATAGCGATTTTGCACATTTTCTTTGCATTAACATCTACAGAAGTCATCGGACAAATAAAATTCCTCGCCCAGCAAGCTCTGGATTCAAATGCTTTCTCATCAGATGTTAATGCACTAAAATGTGCATTACTCCACTGTAAGAGTTTTATTGCTTTTTGTTCCAGACTGGGAATGATACGTCATGGGCTCTAGCGCATGTAGAATCTGTTAATAACATTGTAAAGAACATAATAGAACTTGAACCATCATACACTGCAAATAACACTGAAAAGGTTGTTACATTCTTTAAAAATACATGTCCTGGGAACTGTAGCAACAACGGTGAATGTACAGACACAAGTAAGTTGAAATATATTCATTCTTTTTATAAAATTCTACATAAAACAAAACAGATAATAATGTTCAATTTGAACTAGTGAATAATTTGCATATTTTACATTTATGATGATTTGATATCTATATCAAAATGTGCATAAAATGTAGAGAAGAGACAGTTAGTCAGTTTTGTCTGTTTATATGCACAATTATATAGTGTTTAGATGAAATCATACAAATTATATACTCTCGCAAACAATAGAATCCGAGTCTTCTTCTTTATTAAGTCACGTTATCTCTTGAATCTTTTTATTTGCCAGGTGAGTGTGTTTGTTTTGGATTTTTCCATGGAGCAGAATGTGACATTGATGAAAGAGATCCTTTAATTATCGACGATATCGAAGGCGGTGGAGAATGTGATCTAGTCGATGGTGACGAATGTTCATGTTTCCATGTCAGATCTTCAAATATTCTCGAAGGCTTTAAATGCCAGGCCAATATTTCAAAGGTATATACATAACTATTCATGAAAAAGATTCAAATTGATTAATTAAGTATCCATTGTCTTTTGAATAGAGTCCAGATATAGAGGAACAATATAAATTGAAATATAATCTTATTTATTTCTTGTAATTGTACGAATTTCACTTAAGGGGTATTCAATAAGTTACTGTCTCATCATATAGGCACATAGTACAAAGGTAAGCCTCTGGTTTGGTGCGCCTATAACAGGTTTAAAAACTAGTAGTAGTGATTTGCTACTGACCGTTCCAAGACGTAGCCCCTCTGTGTTCAAAAACATTAAATATTTGACTTGTGTATTTCATGTTGTGAGTGGTGACATGTTTTTGGTGTCCTATCTTATTAGGAGTCGAAGCTGCTGCTGGTAGTTATTTTTCCTCTCATATGTTCTTTTTGCAACGTCCTTTTCCGGGATCTTGCTCTTGCGTCCCACCATTGATCGTTTTATTCACGTTTGGGTCTTTATCGATCTTCTCTTTGGTGTTTGCTATTATATTTCGATAGGATTTCTTAAAGAAGGTTTTTAGTGCTCCAGTCTCTCATTTCTCCGCCATTATCGTCCCTCACAATTTTGTTTGTGTAAGTCGCCTTGAATTGTTGATCTTTGCAATCATTGTTACGATCTGAGACTCATTTTAGAGCCCTTAAATTTGCAACATGCATTGAATTTTGAGTATAAATTGACAGATAACAGTTAAAGGGGAAAGGGAGATTATTTCGACACAAACATTTCCCGGTGGTTACGAGGATATATTTACTGGAGTGTGCTGTATACAAGACAACGTAATTGGTACTGAAGATGCATTCTTTACGAAGTACGATATTTCTATCAGCAACAATGGCATTACTTACGGAAATGATAAAAACGTTTATGTGTTCGACTCCACTTGTCAAGAAGCAGTGAATGGTTCTTCCGATAATGTATCGTTCAGTTTAAAGGTACACATAGCTTATAATTTGAAGTACTCATATTTGTTTAATGCATAATTAAAACAGACTTTTAGCTTGATGTTAAATGATTCAACTTAGTTTGCATTTAATAAAGTAAATATTTTATGTAGATGAAAAACATATTGCTATATAAAACATTTTTAAAAGTTGAAATTTTTGTGATGATCGATTATTTGCAATCATTGTTATGACATTTCATTTAAGCCCGAGTTTTGCTTTATCGATGGCGGTTGTGTAGCAGAAAATGAGATAGCTCCAATTGGTTGTTTAGCTTGTCGGTCTTTGACTGATGGGTATAATTGGACAGGTATGTGATAAAAAGTAATTAAAAGGAAATATGACAAAATAATCTATTGATAAGATGAATATTTGTGTAACACAAATTTATCTAATATATATTTTCCTGTGCATGTTTCATAAAGGTAAAGGTAAAGGCAAATGAAACATGCTTTCTGTGGTTAAAACACTACTAGAATGATACATGCTTTAAAGAAAATTGTTGTATACATAACATTCATCTTTAGTTATCCATTCGAAATTTCTTCTGTTTTTTTTTATATCAATGTTTTATTTTTTAAAGTACGCCGCTTGTAAAAACAGTCATTTATGTATATTTTGTACTATCTTCTGCGTCCGACAAACACGTCTCTGTCAGTCATTTAATTATAATAAAAATGAATTATAAGATCGACTTTTTTCTATCTTTCTTCCGTGAACCGTCATTTGATTATAACTTTATTTTGTGACAGTCCATAACCCATGTCAGAATGAAGGTAATTGCACCAACGAATCTAACGGCTATTTGTGTGTTTGCCATGGCGGATATGGCGGAAAGAATTGCGAATATGGTAACATTTTTCTCTTTATATTTCAAATAAATCAATCAACACAACATTCTTAAAACTGTGTCATAAAGGAAAATATCAAACATTTATGTAATATATCGTTTTAGTTTTCATTTCTGTATCTAATTCACTTTATTTAATACATAAACTTGTATTGCATGAAAACTAAACATGTTTAATATTTACAAATTTGTTTGTTATTACAAGTAGCTTTAAGAGCAACTCCGATGATACATGTAATTTCTATGTCTTTTTTGTTTTATTGTCTGGTCTCGCATCACGAAAATATGTCCAATATATATTTTTAACCGTAGATATAAATGAGTGTGAATCAGACCCCTGTGAAAATGATGGGACTTGCTTAGATCATCTAAATGGTTTCAACTGTTCCTGTGCTGATGGTTTCACTGGCACTTACTGTGAAATTAGTAAGTGTTTATATTTTCATCGAAATATCGTGGAATATAGATGTGAAAATTAAGGTATTATAATTATTATATATTATCTATTCTGGACAGAATGTAATTTTATATAACTGTAACATATAACCTTATCTTAGTCGAGGAGGTCCTTGAAAAAACCACATGTATGGTATGACCCCTATAATGGCACTCTAAGGAACTGTAATATTGACAACATAGGTCCATTATATGTCTTAATGGACACCTGCATACAAAATGTAAAGACAATTTACTGTATGGCTTTCGAGTTATGGGCATTTTCCAAACTGAAGCTTGTCTATTAGAAGGGGTCTCATTTAGAAATGAGGAAACTCTAAATTATCTATGATATCATCATTATGAAAAATGTATTAATGGAACATTGTTAGAAGCAAATGATATATATAATTCAGCTTACAAATCACACAAGCAAAATGATTGTTTCTTCTAAAACTGTTTGCATATGTTTAAAAATTACACCCTACCTCGCCCATTTTAAACACTTGTTTGAGCATTTTCAAACTTGAAGAACGAAATATCCTTAAAATTTATCAGAATGAGGGACTGCTTTAAAAGTTTACCTGAATATTTTTAAAAAATGTTTTGGTTGATACTGGCAGTTTTTTTTTTCATTTATTTTATTATTATTAATTTATAATACTTTGAAAATAATTATAATGCTAAATATCTGCTATTGAATTTCGTATTATTTGGCCCATGAATACCAATAAATACAGTTTAATAAAAACTGGTGTGTAGTGTGTGCGTGGGGAAGTGGGGATGCAGGGTGGTCATACCTTAAACAACATGCGTGTCTTCACTTGCCAATCTAGTGTATAACATCCATTGCGATATATATGTTTTATATATGATCTAAGAAATTAAGAATATAAATTTTGCCCGTCAGGGTATTATGTTGTCTTGACTGATCTCGAAAGTAACACTGATATATGGGACCATTGTGAATTCTTTTTCCAGATATTAACGAATGCTCGTCACATCCATGTCAAAATAATGGGATATGTGAGGATGGTATAAACATGTACATATGCGAGTGTCCACCAGGTTTTGAAGGAACTCATTGTGAAACAGGTCAGTTTCACTGCGATATTTATGCCATAAAAGATTAAATTGATTTTTTTCACTTTCTTCTATTTTTCTTGCAACATTTCGAGTACAGTTAATAATGAAATTTATTTTAAATATTTCAGTCTTTTTACTCTTTAGATATAGATGAATGTTCGCCAAATCCCTGTAAAAACGATAGTACCTGTTTGGATCGTGTCAACGGATATACTTGTGAATGTGTGACTGGAACGTATGGAGTTAATTGTTCTGCTGGTACATATTTGTTTACTTGTATTAACGGTAGATTGTTAAGTCCTCTTTAATTTTTGTACACAAAATTCTATAAAACCGTCCTAAATCTTTAATTTATTTATATGTACCTTCAACAAAGTTCCAAATATATTATGTAATCAATTTTCATGTTAGTAATTATGTGTTGCCAATTTAATACAGAATTTAACAAATTCATCTTACGCATTTTTTAAAGAAAATATTTCTTTAATAACGAATATCGCAGGGAAATAAAGACTATAATTTAAAACGTCAAGTGTAGTATCAATTAAAGGCTGAATTTTTGTATTTCAGTGTCATACAAATAGATTCTGTATATTGTTATTTTTTATATTTTTTTTATATTTTCAAACATCCGACTTGATATTAGGATTATCAATTATGCACAAACTTGTTAGCTTACTTGTTTTACTTTTTTTGACAATTACTTTTACATACCGATAAGTCTGTTTTATAATTTCACAGCGAGGAATTTATGTAAAAAATCAGTCACAAATGATGTATTGGTGAATGAATTAATGAATGCTTGCACTTTATATCACAGTTGTAGACAATTGCGCAGCAAACCCATGTGAGAACGGAGGAACATGTGACGATATCAACAATTCACGGATATGTCAATGTGTTGATGGTTATGCTGGTGCTAATTGTGAAACTGGTAGAATTTATTATCTTACATTTATGTTATATGTAAAGATTACTTTTTATCTATTACCCGGATCTCAATGTTTAATTGTATCTTAAATAAACCCATAGCGCCAAATGGTAAAGATGGCGAGATCAGAGTGCTCCGGCCCTTCTAATCATTTTGTTTCATCTTTCACTATTACTCGTTTAATTATCCCAAGCAATAATGTTAGGCTAAAAGTCTTAGTGTGAATAAGATTTAAATGAAGTAGTTTAAACAAACATAACATATGTTTTCGTTTTCATAAAAGTTTTAAATTTTAAAGTCTTGCATAAATTATGCCATATCCATGTTCTATCGTGTGTTGCTTTAAAGATATAAATGATTGTGAAATCAACCCTTGTGAAAATGGTGGAAGTTGTACAGATTTAGTAAATAGTTACAAATGTGCGTGTGTAGCTGGATACGAAGGAAACAACTGTGCTACAGGTAAATAAAAGATATTCATGCTTCATTTTGACATTTATATGAGCCGCGTCACGACAAAACCAACTTACTGGGTTTGCGACCACGCATGGATCCAGACCAGTCTGCGCATCCGCGCAGTCTGATCAGGATCCATGTTGTTCGCGCACAAACCCTATAACAAGTAGAGAAACTGATAGCGAACAGCATGGATCCTGATGAGGGCAACAACAAGAAAAATAACTGCCTTGCGTATCGTATTTTTAAGTAATTGTCCTTTCCTTTTTTCATGCAAAAACAAAAACTCAAAAAGTGTTCGAATATCAACTTGTTAGTTTTAACTTATTTAATTGCATCAAAAGCATGTATAATATTATAAAAATTATAAGTACATGTATATACCAAAAATGAAAATGGATCGGTCTACAAGTTCTAGCAGCATAAGACTAAGTCTTCCGAGAAACTTGCTATTACGACTCAAAACTCTTCCTTCCATAACTTTTAAGTCATTATCGTAAAGTTTTGTCCGGATCATAAAGATATAAACTATATTGTAGATCTCATAGAAAAGGAGTTCATTGCACAAATATCATAATTAGTCAATACATTATTTTTAATTGCTGTCTTTTATTACGTTTCGTCCAGTCAATCATGTCAACATTTTAAAACGAGTTATCATATTGAAACGTTTGGGGTGGAAAACTCTCATATCCGAGTGTTGCACTTTTAAGAATATCGCACTTTAATGTTTTCTTGAACATTAGTCCTTATTTTTTCCTATTACTCGGTGGATATTTTTGGTAGATTTTGTCTGCTTTTTATTTCATACAATTACAAATGAATAGATTTTATGTAACAATTACTTTTCAAAAATTAATAAACAGATATCAACGACTGCTTAAACGATCCGTGTAAAAATGGCGGCACGTGTCAGGATCTTGTTAATACATACGAATGTACTTGTGCTGCTGGATTTGAAGGCACAAACTGTGAGAATGGTAAGAGTTCAAATATATATACATGAAAAAATTAACCACAGAGAATGTCTCCATATCTTGTTTCGACAAATACCTTGACAAAAACCTATAAATGTCGTCTGTATAAAACTGTTTCTCAGAAAGTGATTACTGATGCGTTTATAGTTATGGTTGAAACGTTTTCTATTAAATTAGAGTCAGAAGATTATGTCAAAGATAACCTTTGAGACAGATAGAAAGATAAAAAACTATATCTTAGTAATAGAAAGAGCACCGAAACACGAGGCTATCTGATTTGTACGAGGGGGCGTAGCCCCCGAGTATTAATCAGATTGCCGAGTGTTTTGGTGTTCTTTCTCTTTTGTATCATAGTCGAACATAAAAGCACGTTCCCTGTTGTCACAATATGAAACCCCGGCAAAATGAACCAATGAACGAACATCTGAATATGACATTCTGTCGCTTTCCCTTTCTCTGCCGTCACAATATGTAAACCCCAGCAAAAATGAGCCAATCAATGGGCATTCTCTGGAGTGCGGGTAACTAATACCCGCACTCCAGTTAACGCACTGTGCATGTATATGTATACGATTTAACCCTGACACATTTTCAACAGAAAGGTCTCCAAACTATGATACAAACATACATTAACGGTGAATGGCCTTAAGGAATTTATGTTTGCCAGTAAATTGCTATAAAATGAACTATCGTACGCAAGCAATGAAGCACAAGTTAAATGCATCAATTATTACTGAATTATTATTTTACCATGTTTTAAATTATTCATTGTTAACTAACGAAATAAATTAAGAAACTGACGTTGAATTGGTCAGTGCTGCTACGAACAAATTGTATCTTTGGACAGGTATCAATGAGTGTTTTTCTGATCCTTGCGAAAATGGTGGTACATGTAATGATCTTGTCAATGAATATGAATGTACGTGTGTTGATGGGTATGACGGAACAAACTGTGAAAACGGTAAGGGTATACGTCTATCATTATAATTGTTGTAAAGTTGTTTATCATTTTTGTTAAGGTCGTTTTGGGGAGTTTTCATATAGACATTTAGGCAAAATTAACTCGAAAATGAGAACGGTGACCCCAATTTTCCCATTTAAAATGTTTCTGTTATCATATTCAAATAACATGCCAAGTTTAAAGAAATTTTATTGAACAGTTTTAATTGTGCCTATATGTCTATATGAAAACTCCGGAAAACGTCTAAATCATAACAACGACTGACCAAGAAAGATCCACTGAAATAATATATTGTGAATTTAAAATCTTTTATTTGCTATTTACTCCAGGCCAAGATATTTATATGATCAACTCTGACACATGTAAAGCTCTTTCTTATCAAAACATGAATTAATGTTGTCCTAAACAATTTTAAAAAGATAAACATATAAGACCGTTTTATTTGATATGAATGTAATATGATTCTAGCATTCTAACAGTATAGTGAAACTACTCTCAATTGAGCTTAGTTTATATGTATTTATTTAACATTCAAGTCAGCTTCTTGGAATCATCCAGAACTGGTGTCGTATGAGGAAAATTGGTCGTGGCCCTAGAAAGACTCAAATTCATGAGTCCTTGGTTGAAAGGCATAAACGTTAACATGTAATCCATCGCTCCCATTTCCAGTCATTTGTTGTTTTCTCCAGTTTATAATCTTATTAAATAAAAGTCCTACGAGTCTATTTTTGTTGATTTCAGTATTATACCACATTAAATTAACTTTATAGTGGTGAGTATCCCCGCCTGTCACGCGGGAGACCGGGGTTCAATTCCCCGTCGGGGAGCCAATTTGTAGTGGGGGGTTTCCAACAATAAACACCTTGATATGTTTATATAGGTTTATTCAATAAAGAATAAAACCTGTAACAAATAAAATAAGTATAAGACATCACATTACAAAAAATATAAAACAAGACAAATACATTTCACAAAATACATATTACAGAATATTACACAACAATTCAAATTACAATAAAAACAATTTCACAAATAAATATATACAAATTTACATACAAGGCTTTAAATAGATGAAATTCTTCAAAATAAATAAATTGAATACAAGCAGGTACGTATATTAACGTTAATATACGTACCTGATACAAGATACAATCAAGCAAGTATTTCTGTAAAGAAATAACTGATAGTTAACTAGTCTAATTTAGATCTTTTCACTTCGAAAGCGAGACAAGGAGTGGTCAGTTACCAAGAAATGTTATATTCCAGAACCAAATCATCTAAAAATAACTTGCATACCAAAACCAATCATCCATCACTCAACTTGCAAAACCAGTTCAATCACTCATAACAAAAGGAACAAAGACAAACATGAACACATAACACCGCAAAAGATTTGATTTGGCCTTTAAAGGAAATAACTACCGTATTTATTATAAAATGAGAACTTGGCTTAATTTAACCTTATCTACACAAAATTCATGTCATGTGCCATGATATTGATCAGTTAGAAAGATTCGTTATATTTATTGATTATCCAAAATTTTTTTCTGTATATAGATATCAATGAATGTTTATCCAACCCTTGCAAGAATGATGGTACCTGTAAGGATCTTGTAAATGGGTACGAATGTACATGTGTTGCTGGATATGATGGAAATAATTGTGATAATGGTATGAACATAGATAATTGCCAATTCTTTTAAAGAAATGTTTGAATTAAGACTGAAAAATATCTTAAATTCGTCGTGCTATCTTAACTATAACTGTAGTCAAACATGTTTGGATTTTCTGATCATTGTAAGAACGGTGGTACCTGCAATGATCATATAAACGGACATGAATGTTCATGTGTTGCTGGATATTTGGCGGAATAAACAGTAAAAAATCATTGCATTAATTTTACAAGAGAAAATATGAATTGGAAATACTACGCGCTCTTATCAATTGATACGAATTTCTTTGAAATGCTTGAAAAATGTTGGTTAATCTGAGTATATGATGAGAAATAACTAAAGATGTGAACTAGATCTAGACGACTTAGATTGATTTTTCATACATATAGAGTATAAAGTACTCCTCTTATCTATCTGAACTGTGTTAAGTAAATTTATAAAGAATACAGAAAACGTTATTTTTATTAAGTCAATACATGTACAAATAACGACAACATAGAATTTCATATTAACTGTGACAGACATAAAAAGGTCAGTTACCTACTGACTAAAAATATGTTTTTTCGTACGTATTATAATAAACCTGCTGCAGATCTGCATTACCTCGATTATATTCATAAATATATATCTTCTTAATGCATGTATTAATGTGTATGGTTGTAGTCTTAATGGCAAAGACAAATATCATTCTTTCATTCGTTGAGAAATAAACTTTTCATGCAAAACTTCTTATTTTAATGTGTTTCTGTCTTACCAGACATTACTGCAGTACACATTATTGACGCTTTTAAAGAAACTTTGATATATTTTGTTCAATCGGACTGTTCTTTAAGACGATTTTGACAGATGATGATTTTTGTAACATTTCTTATATTATATCTTATGTGACGGAAATTGCATTTTAAACCTTTAGAATTTTGTTTTCATTACTCGCGAGAAATAACATCGTTTTCAGAGTATTATAAGTTTGATAATAAATTTCTTTCAATTATAAGGTGTAAATGTTTACTTTACTAATACAAAATCTATTTTTGTATTTGATTCAATGCACAGACATTGATGAGTGTTCTTCCATTAATTGCTTGAATGATGGTACCTGTAAAGATCTTGTCAATGGATATGAATGTACATGTGTTGCTGGATATGACGGAACCATCTGTGAGAACAGTAAGAATTTATATGTTTTTGATAAAGGACAATAATAGATTTGTGTACTACTAGTATTATTTAGCCCCTTATAATGTAACAATTTCATCGAATATTACCTGGTATTACCTAATAATTATTGAATGAATAACATAACCGAGCTTGATAAGACATATACTTTTGAAATCAAAGTAATCCATTTCTATACAGCATTCATTGTGACAGTGGTAAAGGTTTTTTAGTTAATGCTATGTTCCTGTATAGGTAATATGTGTCCTACTACTGTTAATGATGGGATAAAGGTAAATACTGCGAATGTTTAAAAGGTTAACAAATTACGAATATTGGTACGTCACTCCCTTCCATCCTCTATCTTTATACCTCAAGCTTTGTTTGTTATATCAGTAACTCCGTTTTGTTAATGTCGTCTTGTCTTAAGCTTGGTGATGGTTGACCTCATCTTTCCGCAGATCGCCATGGACAGAATAAAATGAACAACATTATGCTCTTCTAAATAAAAAAATGTAAAACATCTCTCACTAATGACCAAGGTTGATTATGTTACACTAAAAGCTAAAACCAGAGTACATATTTTAGTCTTGATAGGCTCTTTTGGTAGAGTGATTGCCCGACTTTGCAAGAAAGGTAGCACCTGTAATGATTTTATCAGTTGATATAAATTAGACGTGTTGCCGGTTATAACGGTGAAGAATTGTTTGTTACGCATCACAGAAATAACTTGTTATTTGCATATTTAAAAAATGAATTCTTATTCCATCTAGTTTTTATCAAGGATTTTGAATGATACGAAACAGATTGATTAAAACACAATAAAACGTCAACATGATTATTTTTTATACTTTCAAAAGCATTTTCTACACCTGATTTAAATTTCGGTTAATATTTCACCACTTTAATTGACCTTCATTTAATTCTTGTATTTTAATTTGCAGACATAAACGAGTGTTCTCCGGACCCTTGCAATAATGGTGGTACCTGTAAGGATCTTGTCAATGGATATGAATGTACATGTGTTGCGGGATATGACGGAACAAACTGTGAAAACAGTAAGGAATGACTATTGTACCTAATATAAGAGCAAACATAAACTGAAATTATGATTAATGGAGCTGCCTTATATATTTTGGCATTCTAAAATTAAATGATTTTGCATCAGCACTAAATAAGAAATTAAAATTTACTTTTACTAATAAATATAACTAGACAAGTATTTTATTTAGTTAGTCAACACTATATTATTCTTTCTTCACATATTTTCAGACGTAAATGATTGTTTATCTAGCCCTTGTGAACATGGAGGAACCTGTGAAGACAAAATCAATGGATATAAATGTTTCTGTGTTGTCGGATATGAAGGTGACGATTGCGAAAATGGTATGACACTTTTAAGAGTGCACGTTTTGAAGTTTGTAATTACTTATTTTGTAAAGTAGATATTAATTAAAACATTATGGTTGATAGAATTCAAATTATTTTCAATAATTGATTAGTCCTAAGTGTAGTTTCAATTCTAATACTATAATGTATTGCATGATTCCTAACCCTAGGTCCTAAGTGTAGTTTCAATTCTAATACTATTATGTATTGCATGATTCCTAACCCTAGGTCCTAAGTGTAGTTTCAATTCTAATACTATTATGTATTGCATGATTCCTAACCCTAGGTCCTAAGTGTAGTTTCAATTCTAATACTATAATGTATTGCATGATTCCTAACCCTAGGTCCTAAGTGTAGTTTCAATTCTAATACTATAATGTATTGCATGATTCCTAACCCTAGGTCCTAAGTGTAGTTTCAATTCTAATACTATAATGTATTGCATGATTCATCTTGTTTTAATTTTTTAGCTTCATCAGATGTAGGCATAGGAAGAGCTAATATTTTGTTGATATTTCCATTCAAATCAACATTCAATGTCTTGGATCCGGAATTAAAGAACGACGTAAAACTTCAGGTATATTACTTTTCCATTAATCTATAATATGAAAACTAAATGTTGGATCATTTCAAACGCATCCAAAAGGAACAATTCTTATGAATGTATTGTTTTACTTCGTATAAACATGGTACATACTGTTTTTATGAATTTAATGGCACATACAATTTGATGTTACGATTTACTTTCATGTTTTAACAATTGTCTGTCTGTATTGCTTCGTTATCATACTCATTTTAACAGGATAAATTGGTTAACTTATATTGCTCCTAAATTGACGACTTAATTAATAATTTGATATGGAAAGATTTCATTAATGTATTAACATAATATGCTGTTATGTTACAGTTGAGCAATGTGTATGAAGACAGAATGGGGGAATCGTGCAAGGCCGTAGTTATATTAAAATTGAGGTATGTTTTAATTATTCTGTTTGTTTTTTTTTGTTTGTTTTTTTTTTTTTTTTTTTTTTTTGTAAAATCTTCATGTTCTTGGTGAAAGGATCATTGTCATCCCTTATTGCAATGAAGTTTTCGTTTACAAATATAGAAATACTCTAATTTAAACAAATTGATGTACTTATTTAAACAAATGTATGAACAAAATAATGTATTATGACTTTATCTTCTAAACAAATTAATGTTTTTTTCCGTTTTTCAGTGTGGGAAGTCTAAAAGTAGAATTTGAGGTTATTTATGATAATGAAACATCAGCTACAAACGATCTGACTAAGACAACTATCGCTTTCTTGTCTGGGGAAAAGGCAATTCAAGTATCTAATGAAACAGTTCCTGCAACTTCCGGGGAGATAAACTCTATCACTGGTAACGAAATATTAATATATAATTATGTAGAAGTCTTTTCTCACATATGAAATTTAACTCTTTTCTCCCATATGAAATTTAACATCAAAACTTTTCAAAACATGTATCGGTTTTCAGTTTTATTATCATGCAGTTTATGAATGTATTTCTTAATAATAATCTTACTTACAATTATTTCTTTACAGTTACAAACGAAACATCGAGTGAATTTATACTGTGTGCTGTGTATGAAACACTGCACGGATCTTGTCAAGAAAATCAAAAATGTTCTGTAGTAAAAGAAAGCCCTTCATGTGTGTAAGTGTTACATTGTAACTTTACTTAACAATTTTTGTTGTTGTTGATATGTAATGCTTTGAAATAGATTTCAAGACATTCTTAAACGTCGTTTAGGTAGAAAGCATTTAATAAGAATAAGATGTTTTGCTTCATGAAAAAAGGCAGACACTGGATTATGGATGTCTTGTACATAGCCCTTTTTGGGCATTTTTCAAAAGAGCATGAAGAAAATGTTATTGTTAAGAATTCAATTAGTGTGAACTTAAACAGGAGGGTGTATCAGTTTAATTCTTTTTTAGGTTCATAAATGAAGATGACCCAAGTAGAGGTAAGTTTATGAAGTCACAAACCTTTCAAAATAACAACACAACAAATAAGTTAAAACATGCAAAACATTAACTAACAAAAGCCACCGCCGGGTAGGGGCAACACTCGACTGTTATACCTTTTCTAAAAGCAAACAGATAAACAGTTTAAAAAAATTAAAGAAAAAAAGGTTTTCCTTTTTTTGAATTGAATTGTACTGTTCAGATATATCTGCTGTTTTGTCCAAGTACGAATCATTTCCATCAATGAATGACAATGTTAAGAGAATATAAGCAGAGTTCAATCATTTGACGGTCAATGTCATTTTAAGGCCAATGTCATATTTGAATTAATAAACAAGTCCGATTGGTCATAAGTGTTGTTTTGTTAAAGAACGAATCAAATCCGTACATAAATAACAAAATCATGACAATCTAAACTAAATTCAATAATTTGTCCTTCACAGTCAAGGTCACTTAAAGCTCAAGGCCAGTCAACGTTTTGGAAGGTCTTGTCCAAAAGGTTGTTTTGTCCAAGTTACAGCCAATTATTGTAATAAAGATTGTAAACTCAATAGTTTGACCTCCAGGTAATACATGAGTCAGTTTGAGATTTATATACATAAAAGTCCTGACCAAAAAGATGTTGTGTCTAAATATGAAGTAAATCAATTTATAAATAACAATGTTATTGCCAGTTGCAGGAAAAAATAAGAGAATAGCATTAATTTGACCTTGACGGTCATGGTCTACTAAAGGTCAATGTCTACATCACTTCATTTTTGAAGAATCTCTTGTTTTGTACGTGTGTGAATCGAATTAGTAGATAAATAACAAAATTATGTAAATTTAACCAAAATTCAATAAGTTGACCTTAACTGTCAAAGTTATTTCAAAGTCAAGTTCAGTTTAAACGTTTGGAAGATCTTGTCGAAAAGTTGTTTTTTGGGTCAAAATATGAAGGTAACGTATTTATTTATTACCACGCTAGGGTCAAATTTAGCACAAAAAGGCGAATATTCAATAATTAAATCTTCAAGGTCAAGATTATAAATGAGCCATTTTCAGTTTGATATACATTTAGATTGATCCTAAAGAATTTTGTTATAGTCAGTTACAGCAAATTCAATAATTTGGCCTTCAAGGTCAAGGTTATTTATAAAAGAAGGTCAAGGTATGTCTGGACAACTTAAAATCTATCCTAAAAGATTGCTGTGTTCAAGTTTGAAGATAAACCATTCATAAATAACAAGATTATAGCCACTTAAAGCAAAAATCAGCAAAGAAACAAGCAAAATTTAGACATTTGACTGAAGCTCAAGGTCATTTATGAATTGGGCAAATTTAGTTTTGTCTACTTGAAGGTATTGTGACTATCCCAAGGGTTGCTTTGGTCAAGTATGAAGACAATTTACTAAGAACTTAAACAGTTATGATCAATATTAAAGTTTTGGGGACGGATACGGCAACGGGAACGCCGACATATATGTAACAATACCTTCTTGAAAAAAAGTCGAGTTGAAAATGAACCGGTTAGCATATTAGTCTGTAAAGCGTCTTTCAATGGTTGATAAAGGAAATATTGCCTTTTATAAAATAATAAAATGTTTTAAAATTTCTAGCAGTACCTACAATTTTAGAGCATCATGGGTGTGTACTAAATCAGAAAGAAATAAAGATAAAAAGAATCTACTGTCATTGCTATTCTTGGTATTATTATTGTTGTTGTATTATCATTGTAATCAAACTACCGTTCTATTTCATAAGGAGGTATTTAAAACAGTTTAAAGTTCCAATTACAAATAAATACTAGATTTGTGTAGCAGTATGGTTAGATATCTAGGTAAACAGTATTTAGCACAAATTCAGCGTCATTTTTTTTCTTTCTTATTTTCAGTCGGTTTGACGATTTTGATCGTTGTTGTGCTTTGCTTGATATTTGTACCAGCCATCATTCTGATCTTTATCCGCTTAGTTAAAAGAAAACCAAGCATTTATATAGGGAGTGAAGATATGCAGTAATAGGGTAATATAATTATATTTTTCTGTTGCAATTACTAGGCTTATATGATCATATTATATCTGTTAATATTTTGTCATGACTTCTAAAATATACAAGAAACGAATGGTATAAAACAGTGCGTATATGAGTACTAGATTTGCGTTTCGTGTCAATAAATTATATCAGTATTTAATACTTAAAAAAGAGTTAATTATGTTATATTATTGGTTGTTTACTTACTTTTGCCGATACAATGTTGAAAAGCTTTAAAGTACAACTCCATGTTTGTTTACTTCCATTTTACAAAGAAAACTCTTTAATATAAAAATATTTCTTTTCAGATTTGAGATGTCATCTTAATGGGCAAATTCTAAACTGGCAGGGTCCAATTGAATCCTTCTAAGTAATGGATCTTTTTTATATGACAGATATTTTTCAGACTACTCAATACAAAATCTATGGATAGAAATTATGAGATTTAAATAAAATATTATGTCCTGAAATAACAATACATGTATGCTAAACAACGATTTACCTATATTTTTCGACATATCCATATACATGAGAAACGTAAATGTTACCACATATACGTTGCGAAACAAACTAATTTTGTCTTTCATGATTATTGTCTTTTCAGTTTTTGTGTTTATGCATACGTATGTGTGTGCGTCCGTGTGTGCGCGCGCGCGCACGTGTTAGTGTGTTTAAACAAACTTTAATCAAATGTCTATATTGTCCATTTACACTGCGCAAATAGTTCTGCCAATAAAATGTATGTATGATAAATTTGCATGCTCCGTGGCCGAGTGGTTAAGGTCGCTGACTTGAGATCACAGGTCCCTCACCGCTGTAGGTTCGATCCTCACTCGGGTCGAAATCTTTCATGTGATGTAGCCATCTAGCTGGCTTACGGAAGGTCGGTGGTTCTACCAAGGTGCCCGCTCGTGCCTGAAATAATGCCCGGAGGGGCACCCGGGGTCTTCCTCCACCAATAAAGCTGGAAAAAAATCGACGAAAAAATCTCGTCGGGATGCTCTAGGATGGCCTGGCTTGAGTATACGGTCGCCCATATGGGCTTTCCGGCGGCGACCTTAAATAAACGCATTAAAAAAATTGAATGCTTTACAACGGACAATTCTTTATGGCACACTATTTACATATCTTTTGTTTTTATTGTGTTTGTATGTTGGTTTGTTTTTGCATGCATGCAAGTTATGTACATTTGTAATGTTGTATTTTTCTGTAGTTTTTTCAATTTATGCAAATAAAGGGTTAATTTCACACTTATTACAAAAAATAAAAATACTATAATGGTTTGTGTATATAAAGATTTATTAAAGATCATACGTAAGTGGTTGATTGTAAATCAATATATTTCAAACAGGCGTCAAATTGAGCCAATACATGTTGCATAATCGAAGTTTTACGTTTCTTAAAATATTTGAATCAGTTAACATATGCAAAGATAGATGCAGATACACATAAAGCTACCTTATTTATAAATATCTTTTCTTAGCTGTTACATGTTGAATATATTTATGTTTTACTTTTAAATAAACACTTACATATTTGAGTTATCATATTTCATATTCATTTTTTCATAAGTCTATTTGTTACATCATGATTGATTGATTTTCTTAACCTTAATGACATACTTTTTTATTACAATAAATTCGGTTGATTGTCATGTTGTTGTTACAGCAACACATCCCCTAAAAAAATACCTCACTCAAATTTGTTTTGGGAAAAAATATAATTTTATATATCGGAAATATGTTTCAAGATGCCCTTGAAAAATATATCTCTAAAATAATTGTATCTGTAAAAGATTATCCCAGTAAGATAAACATCTGTACAAAGTGTCATGAATATCCCACAACTATTTGTAAACGTTATTATAACAAGAATAATAACAAGCGGTACAAAAACAAGCGGTACAAGTCAAGAACATCAAATAAAAACAGACGATAAGAGCCATAATCCAATACTTTCGCTTTAAAGGGAAGGGGGGAAATCCTATATGTTTTGCAACCTATTTCTTCCCTCAAAACCTACCAAAATTTTTGTTCAAATTGTTACCACAGAATTTAGAGAATAATCAAATCTTGTACCAGAAAATATATAAAAAGTATAAGAGCTCCGTCGAAAGATACAAAGCAGACATATGAGCCGCGTCACGACAAAACCAAAGAAATGCGTTTGCGACCAGCATTGATCCAGACCAGCCTGCGCATCTGGGCAGTAAAAAACT